TCTATACTTTTAAATATTTTTATCGACGACCAATTTTTAAAATATATTATTTATATAGGTACAATAATATAACATTTAACACCGGTGGATTTATAAATAGTAAAAATAATTTTGGTATGATAATCATAATAGTAAACTCAGAAAAAAAATTCACGTTTCATGGGCACAATTATAATTAAAATACAGATTATTTATTTTTGTTTCTTATTTATTTAATTTGAACAGAATTTGAATTACTAAATAACCAATTGCACTGTTTGTTAGGATAAGTAGTTGCCTTAGATTGATATGACACATTCCATACAACTGAAAATGGAAGTGTTCGTGCAATCTTCGTAGTAAAAAGAACTTGATCTAAATAAAAATAAAAATAATTTTAATTTTAAATGAATAAAATATAGTTAGGATAGTAATACATTATACCTGACGTTTAATTCTAGGGTTTCTTTCGATCACGGATCGTTGATGTAAGACAAGACTCATCCGATTTATCTGAAAATACAAAATATAAGTTATTTGAATACAAGGTTCCTGATATATTACTTAAATATAAGTTGAAAAATATTAAAAATACAAAGGTACAATTTTTTTTATAAGAATTTAATGTTCTATTTTCGACAACATTCATCAAATTTAAAATTAAAAAAGATCTTATAGTTAAAAATGTATCATGTATGAAATATTGAACTTGTATATCTAAGGATTGAATACCTTCAACAAGGTTCCACGTAAGTAGGTTATTATGTAACCAAAAAATCTCAAATATATCAATCAAAAAAGTTTTTTTTTTGTATAGTTATTTGTTAAAATTTGGAGGAAATTACGATAAATAACCAAGAATTAAGATTTTATTTATTTTGTTGTAATTTTATAATATTAATTCATCATTACCGGCTCGCGGCTACCGTATAATTTATAATTAATAACTAAAAACAATATAAATATAATATAGAATATACACACTGACAAACCGTCACCGCTCAGAATCGTTTTTCGTATGGTGTATAGTGTATTGTGTATTCAATGATAATATTATATCATTGAATTCAAATTTAATATCACCCATTATATACAGTGACCAGCTCATAACCGTACAGCAGAGAAGAGCGACATCCACTTAACCCCCTTTTTATTCATCGACGTTACTAAATACTAAGTATTGAGATTAGAATATTGGATAGCAAATAATTAATTAAACAAATATATTTAAAATAACAATTTCGAATAATATACAGTATAAATTATAATATTATATTATATATAATTAGGTACCTCTTTTTCCGTGGAGTGACCAATCATGTATAATATTAGAACCTTAGTGGCACAGGTTAATGATGATGCGAGAGGATATACCAATAAAGTTTCATATTCTCTAGGAAATAATACTTGGCAGTATATCAAATCGATTATTTCGGCGACATTTGCTACAATAAAAACAACTATGGCCGTCAAACCATGTATTGATTTATTGACATCGTTTAAGCATTCTACAATTTCCAAGTACATATCTCTGAATGAACTTAGGCATGATCTTCTTTCGGGAATTTGTTCATTTATCGTGTACACTAGCCACCGCGTATATAATATTAGTAATATATATTCGTTAAATACAGCGATTTGGCAAGTATTTACAACCGTCATAATGATCTGAAAATATGTGATATACAGACGTATATAATATATTTATATAGACGTCACAGCTGCTTATATTGTATCCATGATAGTATGATACAAACATATAACAAAGCTATATTTATATTTAGTTAAATTTTGGAATGAATTGTTCTGTTGGCCTATTATCAAAGAAGAATGGCTCGGCGTGATGCAGTAGCTGAAATTAATCATGCCACCTGATTGAGAGTAAGCAACAACCGCTACCACTAGTTCTCGGATGGGTGACCACCTGAGTTAGTAGTGAGCAAAAACCTTGCCACACAATCACGTGTTCCTAATCGACCAAATATAAACAATCCCAACTCTACTCTTCTAACCTTACGTCCTTACAACACCCAATGGCCTATGCTACCACCGGTTAATTAATTAAAAAAAAAAAATAACAATAATATTATCTTTGTTTTAAAACTATTTATTACGATGTTTAAATGACATTTTTTAGGCAAGCTTTTATGTATTTCAATTTGATGATTATCATTACTCAATTATTATTAATTTAAATATTCTGTTGGTCTTCCACCGATAATATATTTAACTTTAAGCTTGATAATTAAGTAGGTAACTGTTTTCTTAGAGCTGTGCCAATATAAAATTTACAATGCTGTGTTGTACACTTGTACACGTGTAACATGGAAACAATAGAACCGGGTATGGCATAGGTAGTACTCTTAAAATATAAGGGAGTAGACTAGGATAGGTACCCGGAAAGAAACAATATTTTAATCATCTATAAAAACTGTAAATAAATAAATAAATAATAATAAAAACTAGTTATAATCTTATAAAATATTTATAAATGTTATAATGTTACCATGTCTTGTATTATAAAATTTTGATTCACACTTATCATCCATAAGGTTGGAACCATAATTCTCATGACATTAATAATAATTCCAATAATGAACATCCAATTCATTTTTATTTTTATCGGGCCGACCACACTCAGGCGTATCAATTTCTCATGGATTGTTTCAAGTTTTGTCAATACAATGGATAGTTGACTATCAAAAAAAAAGCGCCAGATTTGAGGTACGAATTTTCCAATGAAAATGAATTCAAAACAACAGATCATTATTATAGACGTTAGTTCAGACATTTCCTGATCCGCTTTCATTGCCTGTAAAATAAAATGTCATCTGTATAATTTACCATAGGCGTAATCTCGGGGGTGCAAAGGGGTGCACTTGCACCCCCTGGAATTGTTGAGGGGGTGCAAAACTTTCATTTTGCACCCCCTACATTTTCTATATTTATAATGTATAATTTTGCCAATTTTTTAAATATTTATAAAATAATGTTAACGTTATTAGACATTATTAGTAACACCTATAAGTTTTATAATCATGAACTTCAAATAGAACTAAAAATCTTTATTAGAATATTCAAATCTAAACAAACTAACTCAAATAATAGTGTATTTTAAAACAAATTAGATTATATAAAACAAGGTGAAATTAAAAATAGGTGTCCTTTATTATCTGAAATTTTAACACTATTTATGACAATACCTACAAACACTATCATCTTGTAAACGAAGTTTTTCCTGATTACGAAGGCTTAAAACTTACCTCAGAACAACTGTGGGACAAGAATGGCTGTCTGATATAGCTATGTTACAACTTACAAATTGATAGAAATCGAGTTATAGATTCTGAAATAAATTGTAATCGACGAGTTCAATGCAGCAGCAACTGTACATGGTAGATGCTTAAGTTTAATTTAATTTTGTTAATTAATATGTATTAATATACAAAAAAAATTCTAAAACTAAGAATCTAAAACTAAAAAAAATTCATATGTTTTTAAATAATTCAAACCGAGTAAAAATATTTTGAAAGTGTTATCAATTTATCATATACAATATCCTACCTAAATGGCTAAATATAAATAATTATGTTTTCTTACTTCCAAGTCATTACATGTACTATAACTGTTAATCAAATCTTCTTTCCTAAAATGTTCTATACAGACGTATGTCACTTTACGTATATGATTACCATTCACTTCATTAATAATTTCCTCCCACGATTCTCGAACTTTAAACAACTGAACATTGGACCGTTCCTTAGTGGTACATAAAAATATTGAACACTGGCGAGGCATTTTAATTTTATAATTTCAACACAAATGTAGAAAATAGTCTAACTATTTAAATAATTCAAGCAGTAGGTCTAGACGCTCTAGTAAGTAGTAAGTAAATTTCTAAAGTCTAAATACTCTACTATTTACTAATGGAATGAATATAAAATATGCAATGAGACCAATGTAATTTATTTTTCTGTGCCAATGTATTTATAGAGAAGGAATGGTAGATGAGCTATAAGCCTACTAGATAACGCTAGGTGTCCCACATGTACCTATTGAAAACATTTGGTATCCAGCCCTCTGCCACCCTCCAGCCTTATCGTTACCATTCCTGTATATCTTAGTCAGTGGTTGAGACTTAACTAGATAAATTAATATATAAATTGAATGCTGTATGCTGTCAAAAAATCATTGGGGTTAAAAAAAATGTTACCCCCTCTTGAATAAGTTATCGGTGCAACACTGAAAACAATACCACCGTCCTTACAAAACTTAAACTTTAGGTTATCTACATCGTGGACTATATCTTAATATAATATTCATATTATGACCTCCCTACATGACGAGCAAACAATTTTCTTTCATGAAATTGTTTTTGTAGAATAGTCCGGTTGTTTCACAGAATATCCCTGCACAGTGCATTTGCCGACTTGTCGTGATCGATGAACGCAGATGAATGAACGCAGGCAATGTCAGTATTTAGTGAAATGCGGCCCACGACTGCTGCAGGTCACTACACACGTCGCACTGAGATTGCTCACTTCCAGCCTTTCAGCCCTTGCCACAAAAATACACAATATATACTAATATACTATTGCATGTACCTAAAAGTAATACCTGAAGTACCTTCAATGACGTTATATAGGTACCTATTATTATTATTATTATTATTATTTTTTTATTATTTCAACTTAGTCCATTTATTATACGTATAGTAGGCACATTTTTAATTATTAAAATCAGAGCTCTAACTAAATTGCAGACAAAAACAATAATTTTATTTTAAGTAATATTATGATAATTTTGGGCTTATGAATTCTATACTTTTAAATATTTTTATCGACGACCAATTTTTAAAATATATTATTTATATAGGTACAATAATATAACATTTAACACCGGTGGATTTATAAATAGTAAAAATAATTTTGGTATGATAATCATAATAGTAAACTCAGAAAAAAAATTCACGTTTCATGGGCACAATTATAATTAAAATACAGATTATTTATTTTTGTTTCTTATTTATTTAATTTGAACAGAATTTGAATTACTAAATAACCAATTGCACTGTTTGTTAGGATAAGTAGTTGCCTTAGATTGATATGACACATTCCATACAACTGAAAATGGAAGTGTTCGTGCAATCTTCGTAGTAAAAAGAACTTGATCTAAATAAAAATAAAAATAATTTTAATTTTAAATGAATAAAATATAGTTAGGATAGTAATACATTATACCTGACGTTTAATTCTAGGGTTTCTTTCGATCACGGATCGTTGATGTAAGACAAGACTCATCCGATTTATCTGAAAATACAAAATATAAGTTATTTGAATACAAGGTTCCTGATATATTACTTAAATATAAGTTGAAAAATATTAAAAATACAAAGGTACAATTTTTTTTATAAGAATTTAATGTTCTATTTTCGACAACATTCATCAAATTTAAAATTAAAAAAGATCTTATAGTTAAAAATGTATCATGTATGAAATATTGAACTTGTATATCTAAGGATTGAATACCTTCAACAAGGTTCCACGTAAGTAGGTTATTATGTAACCAAAAAATCTCAAATATATCAATCAAAAAAGTTTTTTTTTTGTATAGTTATTTGTTAAAATTTGGAGGAAATTACGATAAATAACCAAGAATTAAGATTTTATTTATTTTGTTGTAATTTTATAATATTAATTCATCATTACCGGCTCGCGGCTACCGTATAATTTATAATTAATAACTAAAAACAATATAAATATAATATAGAATATACACACTGACAAACCGTCACCGCTCAGAATCGTTTTTCGTATGGTGTATAGTGTATTGTGTATTCAATGATAATATTATATCATTGAATTCAAATTTAATATCACCCATTATATACAGTGACCAGCTCATAACCGTACAGCAGAGAAGAGCGACATCCACTTAACCCCCTTTTTATTCATCGACGTTACTAAATACTAAGTATTGAGATTAGAATATTGGATAGCAAATAATTAATTAAACAAATATATTTAAAATAACAATTTCGAATAATATACAGTATAAATTATAATATTATATTATATATAATTAGGTACCTCTTTTTCCGTGGAGTGACCAATCATGTATAATATTAGAACCTTAGTGGCACAGGTTAATGATGATGCGAGAGGATATACCAATAAAGTTTCATATTCTCTAGGAAATAATACTTGGCAGTATATCAAATCGATTATTTCGGCGACATTTGCTACAATAAAAACAACTATGGCCGTCAAACCATGTATTGATTTATTGACATCGTTTAAGCATTCTACAATTTCCAAGTACATATCTCTGAATGAACTTAGGCATGATCTTCTTTCGGGAATTTGTTCATTTATCGTGTACACTAGCCACCGCGTATATAATATTAGTAATATATATTCGTTAAATACAGCGATTTGGCAAGTATTTACAACCGTCATAATGATCTGAAAATATGTGATATACAGACGTATATAATATATTTATATAGACGTCACAGCTGCTTATATTGTATCCATGATAGTATGATACAAACATATAACAAAGCTATATTTATATTTAGTTAAATTTTGGAATGAATTGTTCTGTTGGCCTATTATCAAAGAAGAATGGCTCGGCGTGATGCAGTAGCTGAAATTAATCATGCCACCTGATTGAGAGTAAGCAACAACCGCTACCACTAGTTCTCGGATGGGTGACCACCTGAGTTAGTAGTGAGCAAAAACCTTGCCACACAATCACGTGTTCCTAATCGACCAAATATAAACAATCCCAACTCTACTCTTCTAACCTTACGTCCTTACAACACCCAATGGCCTATGCTACCACCGGTTAATTAATTAAAAAAAAAAAATAACAATAATATTATCTTTGTTTTAAAACTATTTATTACGATGTTTAAATGACATTTTTTAGGCAAGCTTTTATGTATTTCAATTTGATGATTATCATTACTCAATTATTATTAATTTAAATATTCTGTTGGTCTTCCACCGATAATATATTTAACTTTAAGCTTGATAATTAAGTAGGTAACTGTTTTCTTAGAGCTGTGCCAATATAAAATTTACAATGCTGTGTTGTACACTTGTACACGTGTAACATGGAAACAATAGAACCGGGTATGGCATAGGTAGTACTCTTAAAATATAAGGGAGTAGACTAGGATAGGTACCCGGAAAGAAACAATATTTTAATCATCTATAAAAACTGTAAATAAATAAATAAATAATAATAAAAACTAGTTATAATCTTATAAAATATTTATAAATGTTATAATGTTACCATGTCTTGTATTATAAAATTTTGATTCACACTTATCATCCATAAGGTTGGAACCATAATTCTCATGACATTAATAATAATTCCAATAATGAACATCCAATTCATTTTTATTTTTATCGGGCCGACCACACTCAGGCGTATCAATTTCTCATGGATTGTTTCAAGTTTTGTCAATACAATGGATAGTTGACTATCAAAAAAAAAGCGCCAGATTTGAGGTACGAATTTTCCAATGAAAATGAATTCAAAACAACAGATCATTATTATAGACGTTAGTTCAGACATTTCCTGATCCGCTTTCATTGCCTGTAAAATAAAATGTCATCTGTATAATTTACCATAGGCGTAATCTCGGGGGTGCAAAGGGGTGCACTTGCACCCCCTGGAATTGTTGAGGGGGTGCAAAACTTTCATTTTGCACCCCCTACATTTTCTATATTTATAATGTATAATTTTGCCAATTTTTTAAATATTTATAAAATAATGTTAACGTTATTAGACATTATTAGTAACACCTATAAGTTTTATAATCATGAACTTCAAATAGAACTAAAAATCTTTATTAGAATATTCAAATCTAAACAAACTAACTCAAATAATAGTGTATTTTAAAACAAATTAGATTATATAAAACAAGGTGAAATTAAAAATAGGTGTCCTTTATTATCTGAAATTTTAACACTATTTATGACAATACCTACAAACACTATCATCTTGTAAACGAAGTTTTTCCTGATTACGAAGGCTTAAAACTTACCTCAGAACAACTGTGGGACAAGAATGGCTGTCTGATATAGCTATGTTACAACTTACAAATTGATAGAAATCGAGTTATAGATTCTGAAATAAATTGTAATCGACGAGTTCAATGCAGCAGCAACTGTACATGGTAGATGCTTAAGTTTAATTTAATTTTGTTAATTAATATGTATTAATATTATATCAATGTAATAAATTACAGTGTCTACTAATTATTTTAATTTATATAATAAAATGTATTTACTTCATATTATTAATGATAATACTAAATTGTGTATACAATTTTGAATTTTGATCGAGGAACTGGTATTGAAAAAGTAGTAAATAAATGTTCAAGCGGTACCTATTTTGCAATTTTGTAGAAAGTTTGTAACTTTCCTGATTAGTTTTGCACCCCCTGAATTTTAGCGAAATTACGCCTATGTAATTTACAATAAAATTATTACACCATATTATTTATGTTACGGTAAATGATGTTAAATGGAAATTAACGTAATTCACTGGTTATTAACGTTATTTACCAAATACACAGGTAATTATCGTTATAAACCGGATAATCACATTAATGACCAAATACACAGGTAATTGTTGTTATAGACCAGATATGCACGTGAATCTCAAATACCTACTACAAAATAGATATTTTTAAAAATAGAAAAAATGCTTTATTATTTTTTATTTGTTTTTACAATTTGTACTCCCATGACATTTACTATTTCATAATTTTTCAGCCCCACGGCAGGCACAACGTTTATTATTACAACCAGTCTTGCAATGGCAACGCTGATATCCTTGAGGGCCCGCAACCGAACTATTACTAGCTGCTTCCCTCAGTGTTAACTGTCTATCAATATTAATAAAAATAAGTAAAATGTTAATAGTACCTGAATGAAAAGCTCTATTTTTTTTAAACTGAATAAATCTTAATGCCGATGGCCAATCGGAACATTTATTATCACCCATCCAAGCAGCTAGCATTTCTTGGACGTCTCTATTGGCTCGTTCAACTGACCCTTGACTTTGACTATGTCTTGGCTTTCCGTGAACGATTTTGACTTCATTCCACATTATATGAAGTTCATTAATCACCGAATTAACGAATTCTCTCCCGTTATCGGATTGCAATATTGCAGGTGCCCCAAATAACGTATAAATATCGATAAGATTATAAGCGATTTCTTCAGCGCGTTTTGATTTTAAGGGTTTCAATATTACGTACTTAGTCAAATGATCCTGGTAATTCATTATGAAACGATAGTCATTATAATGTTGAGATTACATGTCTAAAATTAAATGTCATCTGTACAATTTACAATTATTACACCATATTATATATTATATTACAAGCTAGCATCAAATCAAATTATTGAATATTGCCTAACAGGGTGGCTGAGATCTACTTACAACGGCGAGGTACACCAAAATGAGTTAAACAATCATAATTTTTTTAAGAGTTGCGATTTTTTACGTTAGGTTCAGCTAATAATACATGTTATAATCTTTTTATTATTTTTATTTGTTCTTTAAAAAAGAAAGTAAACCCACTTAACATGTTCATTAGAATATAGTTTTAACAAATTAAAAATTTATAAAGTGTACTCAAAAAATAATGGATAATAATATTAGTACCGTGCCATTACAGTGAATGTAGTTATTTACGTCATGCATTTTCAATTCATCATTTATGTTTTATCAAACAAAACTATTGCAAAAAAAATATATAGTATCATTACCCATAGGTTGATTTTGTAGAAGGCATCTAAACCAGCATAAATTATTAAACATCGCAAGACATACAACGTCAGGGTCGTCTTAAAATTGCCCTGGTTGAATTTTATACTACCAATACCACAAATTAAAAAACATTTGTTTAAATTATTTAACACTGATCTCACACTCATAATGAAATTTATTTACAAATTAAATATAAAAAAAAGGTTAATATAGTTGTTAGTAACTTTAGACTTATTTAGTTTATTTATTTATCAACTGATTGTAACTGAATAAAAAATATTGTTTTAATGTATTCGCGAATGCATTTTCATATTATGTGTAGGTTAGGTTAGTGAATTGAAAATAATTTTTACGAAGAATCGTTGAAGTTAAAAACAAATATAATTTAGTTAATTGTATGCTCAATATACTCAATTTATATATTATTCAATCCAATTTGTTATATTATATTATATTTGGTGTAGGCTGCATGTACATGTTGATAACTTGAGTGTTATAGATAGGTAGTTTATTGGTATAATATACGTCAAACTATTTACAAAAATAATGTTTTTAAAATTATATTACATTATTACGTTTTAAATTCATTTTCTACATAAAAATATTTATATTTGAAAAAATTGTGTTAATGTGAAAAATGTCATTATGTATAAAAAATGTAATAATATATTCTAAAAGTTTAATATACCTATCCACGAATAGTATTTTGAAATTACAATGATATAATAAAAATCATTATTCTTGGTTTTAATATCTAATTTTATCCAAATTTGAACTTATAATGACTGAAAAATATAATTGTGTGTCTGTGTTTATATAATATGTTTTAGATTGTTTGGTTATAGTATGGACTATTTATGAGAACCGTTGTTTAAAATTATCAATCCTTAGCTATAAAAGTTAAACATTTTATAAATTTTCAACTACTAAATTTAGTAAAAATCCAAACTTTAAATAATTATAAAAAAATCTGCCCTATGGGTCTTCAATATTTTTTAAATTCTATTATAAAAACTTTTAAGGAACCTAATATTCAATTTTTAAGCTTTTAGACTTAACAAATAAAATGTTATTGACATTTACAGGATAAAAAAGGTGTTCTACTGTACAGTAGGTTAAAAGTGGGTCACTGTATAATGGATGGTATTAAATTTGGTTCCATGACAATTTAGCGCAGTCATTTTAACTCACGACAATTCAGCGATGACATTTCCGCTTAACACAAGTCAGCGTATACGACATTTACGCGCAATACATGTCGGCGCAAACGACATTTACGCGCAACACATTCCGCGCATCATGTTTAATAAAATATACTAAGTTAAATGTTAGTAAATATAATAAATTCCCAAATTAAAATCATTATTGCTAAATACATATTGTTCTTTTTAAAGATCTCGGGTTCAGTAGTTGGGCTGATACTGCAGCAGGTAACTAAATAAAATTTATTATTAATATACAGTTATAAAAAAAATATAATTAAAAAAAGGTGTATAATGGATGGTATTAAATTTGAATTCAATGATATAATATCATTGTATAAGAAAAACGATTCTGAACGGAGACGGTATATCAGTCTAGGTTTAAGACATATTATATACATATCTATGGTATTAAAAAAAAGTTGACCTATAATAGGTACCTATAATAAATTCCAAATTAATCATATCACAATATCCATTAGGTAATTATCACTAGGTAATAAAAATAAAATATTTATATTTGATGAGCATATTTTGGTGTATTTAATGGCAAAAATACATATTTTATGTATTTAATCACATATTTTGATTGTATATTTCGTAATTTATAATTATAATTTTAATTTTTGTATACTAATAATTTTTTTCCCCTTTGACTAGTTATATATTGTAGTACAGACATTATGTTGTTGAATGTTGAAAGCCGAAATACTTTACGTATACTAACCACAAAATTATTTTATACTAGTTACCTACCTATATGCCTATATCAGACTATCTCGATTATCTAGACACCAATAGATAAAAACTTCTGCTGCTGTATCGATAACACGGAAATTCTTTCAATTAGATATTTTTAAATTGCGCTGAATTATTGTCGCACGCTAAAATGTAGTGCGCGCTGATTTGACGATCGCCAAGATGTCATATGCGCTTAATTGTCGTGCGCTATAATTACCACGCTCAATAAACGTGCGCTTTATTTACCATGCGCAAATGACGGTACACCATTAAATTTGAATTCAATGATATATCATTGTATAAGAAAAACGATTCTGAGCGAAAACGGTTAGTCAGCCTATGATATTACGAAGTATATTTTATGATACTAAGGTGGATAAAGTAATTTAAATTTACTATTTATTTGGAATCTTGTTTTAAATTTTCAATCATTAGCTATAAAAGTTGAACATTTTATACATTTTTAAATACAAACTTATTATTAAATTTTAAATGTGATAATTTTTGTCAACATTTGAATTTTAAATGATTTTAAAAAAAAATTGTGCCTATGTATTGTAACAATATAATATCAGGATCTTTGCATTCAATTTTCACGCTTTTTTACCCAACAAATAAAATTTAATTGATATTTATAGAAAAAATATTAAAAAATGAAAATGTCCGTAAACAGCTCAAAAAGAGATAAAATAATTTCAAAATTATATAGTGTATAGGAAATTCTAATATAAACATTCAGTGAAATTTTCAATTATCTACAGTCAATCGTTTTTTAATTATAACAAAATTAGAAAATTGTTACATGAGAAATCGAGTGAATATCAAATGTTGTAAAAATATGAAATTCAAACGCTCACAAAAATTTAATTTGAGTTTCTTGTAGACATTTTTTTTTTTGATAAAGGTAGACAAACTTATGAGGAATCTTGTATTACATTTTCATATCTTAGATTTAAAAAGAAAAATTTTATGAATTTCTAACTCGAAATAATTTGCAAATATTCGTCATTTTTACGTATTTTGTCCATTCTTGAACTTTTAATGCTTATAACAAAAAACTGTGACTAAGGATTTTAAATATTTTTCATCTGTCTTTGAAACAATATATTAGGAGCCTTCTATTAAATTTTTTAGCTTTTGTACCCAACAAATAAAATTTTATTGATATTTAGATTTTATAGAAACAAAAAACTAAAAAAAATGGAAACTGAAAATGTCCGTAAAAAGCTCAAAACAACTCAAAATATTTGGAAAATTGTATCGTGTATAGAAAATGGAAATATAAACAACCAGTGAAATTTTCATGTATATACGTTCATTTGTTTTAGAGAAACAACCAAAACTAAAATCGATTTAGCGTAAAAATTCCCGTTTTCCTTAATTTTTCTTTTGTTTTTCACGATGCTTTTGAAAACTACTGGAAAAATTTTACTTTTGACCACCCAAAGTACCAACTAGATTCACTGTTCTATCAGAAAAGATACTGTTGAAGAAAATTCAAACACGTTTAGTGTTTATTGTCCTAAAAGGTGATGACAGACACAAAAAAAAAAATAAAAAAACACACATCATTGTAAAATCAATACATTCATCGTTCCATTCAGAATCTAAAACTAAAAAAAATTCATATGTTTTTAAATAATTCAAACCGAGTAAAAATATTTTGAAAGTGTTATCAATTTATCATATACAATATCCTACCTAAATGGCTAAATATAAATAATTATGTTTTCTTACTTCCAAGTCATTACATGTACTATAACTGTTAATCAAATCTTCTTTCCTAAAATGTTCTATACAGACGTATGTCACTTTACGTATATGATTACCATTCACTTCATTAATAATTTCCTCCCACGATTCTCGAACTTTAAACAACTGAACATTGGACCGTTCCTTAGTGGTACATAAAAATATTGAACACTGGCGAGGCATTTTAATTTTATAATTTCAACACAAATGTAGAAAATAGTCGTAACTATTTAAATAAATCAAGCAGTAGATCTAGACGCTCTAGTGAGTACTAAGTAAATTTCTAAAGTCTAAATACTCTACTATTTACTAAAGGAATGAATATAAAATATGCAATGAGACCAATGTAATTTATTTTTCTGTGCCAATGTATTTATAGAGAAGTAATGGTGGATGAGCTATAAGCCTACTAGATAGCCCTAGGTGTCCCACATGTACCTATTGAAAACATTTGGTATCCAGCCCTCTGCCACCCTCCAGCCTTATCGTTACCATTCCTGTATATCTTAGTCCGTGGTTGAGACTTAACTAGATAAATTTATATATAAATTGAATGCTGGATGCTGTCAAAAAATCATTGGGGTTAAAAAAAATGTTACCCCTTCTTGAATAAGTTATCGGGGCAACACTGAAAACTATACCACCACCCTTACAAAACCTAAACTTTAGGTTATCTACATCGTGGGCTATATCTTAATATAATATTCATATTATGACCTCGTCATGTAGGGAGGAGGTGAGCAAACAATTTTCTTTCATGAAATTGTTTTTGTAGAATAGTCTGGTTGTTTCACAGAATATCCCTGCACAGTGCATTTGCCGACTTGTCGTGATCGATGAACGCAGTGGCGTGACAAAAATAGTATGTGTGGCTCGTGCGGGAAGGCAATGTCAGTATTTAGTGAAATGCGGCCCACGACTGCTGCAGGTCGCTACACACGTCGCACTGAGATTGCTCACTTCCAGCCTTTCAGCCCTTGCCACACAATATACTAATATACTATTGCATGTACCTAAAAGTAATACCTGAAGTACTTTCAATGACGTTATATAGGTACCTATTATTATTATTATTATTATTATATTTTTATTATTTCAACTTAGTCCATTTATTATACGTATAGTAGGCACATTTTTAATTATTAAAATCAGAGCTCTAACTAAATTGTAGACAAAAACAATAATTTTATTTTAAGTAATATTATGATAATTTTGGGCTTATGAATTCTATACTTTTAAATATTTTTTTCGACGACCAATTTTTAAAATATATTATATATATAGGTACAATAATATAACATTTAACACCAGTGGATTTATAAATAGTAAAAATAATTTTTGTACGATAATCATAATAGTAAACTCAGAAAAAAAATACACGTTTCATGGCCACAATTATAATTAAAATACAGATTATTTATTTTTGTTTCTTATTTATTTAATTTGAACAGAATTTGAATTACTAAATAACCAATTGCACTGTTTGTTAGGATAAGTAGTTGCCTTAGATTGATATGACACATTCCATACAACTGAAAATGGAAGTGTTCGTGCAATCTTCGTAGTAAAAAGAACTTGATCTAAATAAAAATAAAAATAATTTTAATTTTAAATGAATAAAATATAGTTAGTATAGTAATACATTTATACCTGACGTTTAATTCTAGGGTTTTTTTCGATCACGGATCGTTGATGTAAGACAAGACTCATCCGATTTATCTGAAAATACAAAATATAAGTTATTTGAATACAAGGTTCCTGATATATTACTTAAATATAAGTTGAAAAATATTAAAAATACATAGTTAAAAATGTATCATGTATGAAATGTTGAACTTGTATATCTAAGGATTGAAAACCTACAACAAGGTTCCACGTAAGTAGGTTATTATGTAACCAAAAAATCTCAAAAGTATCAATCACGGTTTTTTTTGTATAGTTATTTGTTAAAATTTGGAGGAAATTACGATAAATAACCAAGAATAACGATTTTATTTATTTTGTTGTAATTTTATAATATTAATTCATCATTACCGGCTCGCGGCTACCGTTTAATTAATAATTAATAACTAAAAACAATATAAATATAATATAAAATATACACACTGACAAACCGTCACCGCTCAGAATCGTTTTTCGTATAGTGTTTAGTGTATACAATGATATTATTATATCATTGAATTCAAATTTAATATCACCCATTACTTATTGGCTATTACCCATTATATACAGTGACCAGCTCATAACCTACTGTACAGCAGAGCAGAGCGACATCAACCCACCTTTTTATTCATCGACGTTACTAAATACTAAGTATTGAGATTAGAATATTGGATAGTAAATAATTAATTAAACAAATCTATTTAAAATAACAATTTCGAATAATATACAGTATAAATTAAAATATTAAATTATATATAATTAGGTACCTCTTTTTCCGTGGAGTGACCAATCATGTATAATATTAGAACCTTAGCGGCACAGGCTAATGATGATGCGAGAGGATATACCAATAAAGTTTTATATTCTCTAGGAAATAATACTTGGCAGTATATCAAATCGATTATTTCGGCGACATTTGCTACAATAAAAACAACTATGGCCGTCAAACCATGTATTGATTTATTGACATCGTTTAAGCATTCTACAATTTTCAAGTACATATCTCTGAATGAACTTAGGCATGATCTTCTTTCGGGAATTTGTTCATTTATCGTGTACACTAGCCACCGTGTATATAATATTAGTAATATATATTCGTTAAATACAGCGATTTGGCAAGTATTTACAACCGTCATAATGATCTGAAAATATGTGATATACAGACGTATATAATATATTTATATAGACGTCACAGCTGCTTATATTGTATCCATGATAGTATGATACAAACATATAACAAAGCTATATTTATATTTAGTTAAATTTTGGAATGAATTGTTCTGTTGGCCTATTATCAAAGAAGAATGGCTCGGCGTGATGCAGTAGCTGAAATTAATCCCGCTACCTGATTGAGAGTAAGCAACAACCGCTACCACTAGTTCTCGGATGGGTGACCACCTGAGTTAGTAGTGAGCAAAAACCTTGCCACACAATCACGTGTTCCTAATCGACCAAATATAAACAATCCCAACTCTACTCTTCTAACCTTACGTCCTTACAACACCCAATGGCCTATGCTACCACCGGTTAATTAATTAAAAAAAAAAAATAACAAGAATATTATCTTTGTTTTAAAACTATTTATTACGATGTTTAAATGACATTTTTTAGGCAAGCTTTTATGTATTTCAATTTGATGATTATCATTACTCAATTATTATTAATTTAAATATTCTGTTGGTCTTCCACCGATAATATATTTAACTTTAAGCTTGATAATTAAGTAGGTAACTGTTTTCTTAGAGCTGTGCCAATATAAAATTTACAATGCTGTGTTGTACACTTGTACACGTGTAACATGGAAACAATAGAACCGGGTATGGCATAGGTAGTACTCTTAAAATATAAGGGAGTAGACTAGGATAGGTACCCGGAAAGAAACAATATTTTAACTATCTATATAAACTGTAAATAAATAAATAAATAATAATAAAAACTAGTTATAAACTTATAAAATATTTATAAATGTTATAATGTTACCATGTCTTGTATTATAAAATTTTGATTCACACTTATCATCCATAAGGTTGGAACCATAATTCTCATAACATTAATAATAATTCCAATAATTAAAATCCAATTAATTTTTATTTTTATCGGGCCGACCACACCCAGGCGTATCAATTTCTCATGGATTGTTTCAAGTTTTGTCAATACAATGGATAGTTGACTATCAAAAAAAAAGCGCCAGATTTGAGATACGAATTTTCCAATGAAAATTAATTCAAAACTACAGATCATTATTATAGACGTTAGTTCAGACATTTCCGGATCCGTTTTCATTGCCTGTAAAATAAAATGTTATCTGTATAATTTACAATAAAATTATTACACCATATTATATATATTACAAGCTAACATCAAATCAAATTATTGAATATTGCCTAGGGTGGCTGAGTTCTACTTACAACGGTGAGGTACACCAAAAGGAGTTAAACAATCATAATTTTTTTTAAGAGTTGCGATTTTTCAAGTGCAACGGAGTTCACGGGTTCAGCTAGTAATACATATAATAATCTTTTTATTATTTTTATTTATTCTTTAAAAGAGAAAGTAAACCCACTTAACATGTTCATTCGAAATTAGTTTTAACAAATTAAAAATTTATAAAGTGTACTCAAAAAATAATGGATAATAATATTAGTACCATAACATTACAGTGAATGTAATTAATTACGTCATGCATTTTCAATTCATCATTTATGTTTTATCAAACAATACTATTGCAAAAAAAAATATATAGTATCATTACCCATAGGTTGATTTTGTAGAAGGCATCTAAACCAACACAAATTATTATACATCGCAAGACATAAAACGTCAGAGTCGTCTTAAAATTGCCCTGATTGAATTTTATACTACCAATACCACAAATTAAAAAACATTTGTTTAAATTATTTAACACTGATCTCACACTCATAATGAAATTTATTTACAAATTAAATATAAAAAAAAGGTTAATATAGTTGTTAGTGTCTTTAGATTTATTTAGTTTATTTATTTATCAACTGATTGTATAACTGAATTAAAAATATTGTTTTAATGTATTCGCGAATGCATTTTCATATTATGTGTAGGTTAGGTTAGTGAATTGAAAATAATTTTTACGAAGAATCGTTGAAGTTAAAAACAAATATAATTTAGTTATTTGTATGCTTAATATACTCAATTTATATATTATTCAATCCAATCTGTTTTCTTTAGTAGGTACATATTATATTTTATTATATTTGGTGTAGGCTGCATGTATATGTTGAAAACTTGAGCTTGAGTGTTATAGATAGGTAATTGATTGTTAGATACGTCAAACTATTTACAAGAATAATGTTTTTAAAAATGATATTACATTATTACGTTTTAAATTCATTTTCTACATAAAAATATTAATATTTAAAAAAATTGTGTGAATGTGAAAAATGTCATTATGTATAAAAAATATAATAATATATTCTAAAAGTTTGATATACCTATCCACGAATAGTATTTTGAAATTACAATAATATAATAAAAATTATTATTCTTGGTTTTAATATCTAATTTTATCCAAATTTGAACTTATAATGACTGAAAAATATAATTGTGTGTCTGTGTTTATATAATATGTTTTAGATTGTTTGGTTATAGTATGGACTATTTATGAGAACCGTTGTTTAAAATTATCAATCCTTAGCTATAAAAGTTGAACATTTTATACATTTTTAAATACAAACTTATTATTAAATTTTAAATGTGATAAATTTTGTCAACATTTGAATTTTAAATGCTTTTAAAAAAAAATTGAGCCTGTGTATTGTAACAATATAATATCAGGATTTTTGCATTCAATTTTCACGCTTTTTTACCCAACAAATAAAATTTAATTGATATTTATAGAAAAATATTAAAAAATGAAAATGTCCGTAAACAGCTCAAAAAGAGATAAAAGACCGTAAAAGGTTAAAAATTAATATGACTTTCCATAATACTTATTTTTTTGTTAAATGTAGGAAAACTTAAGGGTAATCTTGTATTAAATTTTCTCAGCTTAGAGAGGAATAGAAAATTTTTTATGAATTTCTAACTTGAAATAATTTGCCAATTTTCGTGATTTTTATGAATTTTGTAATTTATTATTTTAACTTCAAACGCTCATAAAAAATTATTGTGAATTTATGCTTAACTTTTTATTTAATTTCTACTAACATCAACATGCGAGAAGCGGTGGCGGATCCAAGGGATATTAAAGGGGGCATTCCCTTCTCCCTATCACCGTAGTTTTCCTTTGTTTTAAACTGTGTTTTGCCAATTTTGGAACTTTTTGTACTTTTGCCCCCCTCCCTCCCAAAATTAAGCCACTGGCGAGGAACGTTGTACCATATTTTCAAGTTTTTTGAACGACCGAAAACTTTTGTATTAACATTACATTTTTTTTAGAAACTATTAAATATACACAAAGTATCTCTATGTATATAATATTACTAGCTGAATAACCCGGCGTTGCTCTGGGAAAAAAATTGTGATTAATTAACTCCTTTTGGTTGTAATTCGCTCTGCATAGGTATAGAAGCAAAATCATATTATATTTTAATTTTTAGCCATTCCATGTGAATTTCGCTTATGGTAGGTAATGCGTACAGTACCTATATTACCTGTGTTAGATTGCGGACACAATAAAGAGGGAGATAAAATATAGGTAGCCTATATTAGTACAGCTTAGTAGTTGAAAAAATCGTGTGTACAGTGTACCTAAAATAGTATTGAAGTCATAGTTGATCATCCCGAATTTTTAGGAGTATATAATATTTTTTTTTTTGGTTTATTTTATTTATATTTATGGACAAACCGGCGTAATTGTACCTAGCTTTGTGAAATAATTCGCATATTATATAACTCACAACCAAAGGCAACCAAGCCCGGATTAAGGGGGGGCCAATGGTGGCACGGTCCCGGGGCCCATTGATTTCGGGGGCCCATCTTCATCCCAAAAATATATTTTTTTAATGCGTCCAATACAGTTTAAAAAAAATATATATATTTAAGTAGGTAGGTATAGGTAGTAGGTAAATTATTATTATACCTACTTAATAAATAATAATTATAAAATAAAATTGTTCTCAATTTCATATCACGAAAAATTACTATAAATAATGAACTGTGTTGGCAAACACAATTTTGATTATGTTTTTTTTTCTGAGCATTTTCGATTACTGATTTAACTATTTAAGTATATAGGTAGTTATAAGAAAAAAATATTTAGCTCTTGTAAATTAGGTATTTTAGTTAAAAGTATTAATGCATATTATACTAAACTTTCGAGGACCATAGTTAATAACCTAGCAAACTAAAATAATTGATCATTTGACTGTCAAAATGTTCAGACAAAAAGCTTTACCAGAATCCATGAAAAAATATAGTGGTTAGGAGACACCATTTGAAAAAAATAAAGTCGATTTTATTATTGGTACAACAGCGTGTTTAAAAATTGTGAAAATGTTATAAAAAAAATGCCTGTTAAAAATAAAGAAACACATCTTCTTTTGATTTAACGAAATTTCATATCAAATTCCAATAATTAAAAAAATACCCGCGTACTATGACATAAGATACATTCTGTATATTTTTTGTTTAGTAAAAAATTATACAATAATAAAAAATCTTTAATATATTGTAATAATACAATTATATTTAAGTTAAAGTGGAAAGGGGGCCCACTAAGTGTATGGTGTCTCGGCCCAATTGATCCTTAATCCGGGTTTGAAGGCAACCATATTAATAAACAAAAAAAAGTTTCGATTTCCACCATGAATCTTAAGATCCCTGTTTTACCACCTCTTTAAAAAGCGAATATCAGAAATACCTTTCTTATTGCGTATCTGGATCAATAGTATTTGTATGTGTATTGGTTGGGGAACCGAAAAAAGTCTCGGGAAATAGTCACGGGGGAAATAAAGTCTCGGGGCAAAAAAAGTTCATAAAACTAATGAAATATACAATTTGGAACATTTAAAAAAAAAAATTAATTATGTTATATTTTTTTTCTATTCTGACATCTAACTTCATGGTATAGATAAGTTTATTTTTTTAATAATATTATTAACTAAGATTCAATAAGATATATTTTTTTATAATTTTGTAATTATTAGCTATTATTTTTGTTCTATCTATTTTGTATTAAGTAGTTAGTACCTAGTTACCTATTATATGATTACATAATTATTAGATATTATATTTAGAATATAGACTTTTTAGCCCCCAAGACTTTTTTTCCTGGATTTTTTTTCCCTGAGACTTTTTCCTACCATCTTATTGGTTTATGTTAGTGGTGTGCATTTTATCGTTTAAAATATAATTGGAGAATTGGTGTACGCGGTATGCAAGAGATTATTTTTATCGATAAACTTCTCGAAACAATTCTTATCGTTCACCTCTGGACAAAAAGCATAGGTTCCAGGTAGCTGGAAACCCACGGGCTGCCGATATATATATATTGCCATGAAGCTCCCGGGTTTGGTGCCTTGCGGCTACAACCGCGGACCTTATATTAGCAGTAGGTGCTAGTCAAGAGCCGCGGAGGTCTTACGGCCGTCGCTGGCCGACCCGTAACACTGCATGACGAATCATGGCTGATGTGTTCGTGGTCGACAGACGGGCAACCGCACGTCGTCTAAGGACCACGAGTACCGGGCCCACACGGAGGAATACTCCGGTGCGCCCGTACCAACCAGCTATGGCATACAGGTGCCTTTCGCCACCATGGTGGGGTCGCAATCTATCCACGTTGCTTTCCGTTTTTGGTTACGGACAACCTTCGCTGCATATAGCCCCAACGATAGGCTGGGTGGGCGCTAAGGAGGGGCCGTGCTTTCTCGGCCGACTGTCGCCGTACGAGTCCGCCAGGCTCCGTCACTCGGCAGCTTTCCCCTGACCAAGCGTGAGGTCTTTTTACCACAAAGTATGCTCCTGCAAACTGCCACTCCGAAACCAAACCACCATCGGTCGGGGCAATGTCCACCACGACCGACGTGTGAATGCCCGGTGTTAATCTCTCAACACCGGGGGGCTCCCTCACATCCCGAAGCACCATTCTCGCCTCCTGATTAGGTAAAGCACATCAATGGTGGGATGCTCGGATGAAGCTTCGTCGGCGACTTGCCTCAGCTTATGATCCTCCCGAGATTTGGGCCGTGTACCGCGGGCTTACGGTGGGCCCAGACTGCACCTCCCAGAGGCGTCACCAGGTGGTAAAGCCCAGTGACCGACCCGCTCTTCACGAGGTCGCGGTCAGAACCTCGATCCACGCCCCAAGGCGTCACCAGGTGGTGAAGCCCAGTGACCGACCCGCTCTTCACGAGGTCGCGGTCAGAACATCTCAACGCCCTAGTCCTCGTAGGTTTCGGTGGGTCCGCGCCCCGGGCGCCGACCCCGACTGGTCATTTTCCCTTTTAGTTGCCTTGTACGACAAACAGGGAATACTGATGCAGAATTCTGTACGGCCCCCGCAACAGGGCCGAACTTCGCGTTCCTGACGTATGAGCACGTCCCGGGCCAGAACGCGCTCGAGCGTGTTCCCCCGTTTCTGCCACTTACGCCTTACGTGCTCATCGGGAACACCCCGAGTCTGTGCCTTCCGTCTGCTGACGGGGCAGCGTTCTGACCCAAGAGGTCTTGTGACCTATTCATATATATTGCCAGTAATTAATTATAATTGTTCATTACTCCACTAAAACTCAACATTTTTGAAAATACTTTCTTAAAGCACGGTGAAAATATGAGAAGAACCTCTATTCCAAATTTCAAGTTCGTACGTTTTGTAGTTTTTGAGTTACAGCGATAAGTGAGTCAGTGGTATTTGGATTTTCTATGTATATATATAATACAAAGTGTAACAGAATTACAGAAAGACCTAAAGACATGAAATTATCTTTTGTTCTAATCGATATTTTAAAATTGTTGTGTTATTACAGTCTATAGAAGCAACTTTGCAAGTACGGAATTATTATTTTTATTTTTATTTTTTATTTTAACATATTTTTATAATTTAATGTTCACCACAGAATTCCACTTTTTATGTTAAGTCTTATAGTATTAAACACACACTTTAATAATAATTAATAAAATAAAATATTTATTACGATGGATATTCAACGGTTAGTGAATATTTCTCGTCAAACGATTTTCGATATTTTGTTGTAATTCAAAAATTAACTATGAATTGTAGATACTTAAAATTTTTACAAAATCGTTACGATAAAATATTATAATTGTCTGTAGGTATCTACATGATTAAATGTTCAAAATATTTCGACTCATTTTGACCTATTTTAAAGACATTTGAAATGTTGAAAAAAAAATCAATCAATTTTCGCCGGGTCTAAAAGCTTGAACAAGGTTTCTCAAAAGTTTTTATAATAGCAATTTAATGAAGATACATTATTATGTACGATTATTTTTATTTAATTAAGCATTTTAAGTAGGTACAGATTTTTACAAAATTAATCAATACCGTGAACATTTGCAAATCTTTTTTTGTTTAAATATTTATAAAATATTCAATTTTGTGGGTAATACTGTTTCAAAAAAATGTATGAGCACAGTTTTTTTATAATAATATTAAGTTGAAACTTGGACGAAATTAGATGTTTAAACGAAGATTAATGGTATTCATTATCTTTATATAATTCAAAAACATTATTCGTGGTGACTATTATAACTTTTACTTATATTATTATATTTTATACGTAAAATGAAGTTTTAGAATGCAATGTTTTAAGCAAAATTTAATTTAACACATTGTCTTACTATTAGTAAAATAAATTACTTAAATAGCGGCAATTTAATATCATCTAGATAGCTATATTTACCTATATTATACTATTATATGTATAGGATGATATAAGTATCAGGTGAAAATTATATTGGCATTGAAACTAAAGCAATTATTAATATTTTTATTATATTTATATTACTATAGTACAGTATACTAAAAAAAAATATTATGCAAGCCATTAACCAAATAATATACATATATTTACATGGGTATATAAAAAAAAAATGTATAGTTCTAACGATTACGGAATGATATGATGTACCCAAAAAAACCAATATGATGTACCCAACTAAAAACCTAAATAACTATAAAATCAGTGACTTAGAATATCGTTTTTAGATGATAATAACTTGGTTTTCATTTTAGGGAGATGAACCAGATGTAATATGTTAAAATATTAAATAATGCTACAATGTAAACATAATGCGGTAAATATTATAACCTGATAAATATTTTTTAGATTAAAAAAATGTGGGGTGGTGGTTGCCCCCACGACTTAGTTCTAATATCCAAGGGAGTAGGTGGGTATAAGTAATTGTTTATTGCCACACCTAAAAAAAATTAGTTCGGCGCCACTGCAGTACATGATACACCTCAACATACATAGTATAAAACTACAACTTCAGTTCATCTTGCGTGTATCTTTATATATATATAATTCTACTGTACGTGTGTTTGTAAGCGAACTCCTCCTAAACGACTGGACCGATTTTGATGAAATTTTTTGTGTGTGCTTTAGTGGGCCCTAGAATGTTTTAGATTCACAATCGGACCCAGTAGGCCCATTCCGTGGAGGTACTCAAACGGGAATGTTGAAATTTATGGTGGATATTTTTGTTTATAAATGGTTGTCATGGGTTTAAAGCTATCATAATAATAAATATGGGTTGCCGTGAAGGCGTGAAATCAGAAATAATTAGAAAGCAACGTAATTATTAATACCATATATATATATATAAATAAATTAATGTTTGTGTGTAGATTAGACCTTCGAGAAGAAGACAGACTAATTTAAAAATGATTAAATTTAGTTTTTTTTAATCATCTGATATTAGTACGGTTAGGATTTTGTATTAACTGATTATATTAATCCACCATAGGCGGAATACAACAAACTTGGTATAACTTTGATACTTTAGAGTTAAATCATACACTTACTTACAAACATCAAGGGGTCCGAGATCTACCGCAGGTAGATTGCCAACCTGATAATATACTGCTGCGAATCAGAATTATTATTATTATTATTCCGGGCAACGGAAAATGTAAGATAAATTTTGAATACCATACACTGAATATTAAATAATGAATTGAACAAAGTTTGAGCTATATAGATTTGGTACTTTTAACGGGTAACAAAGTACACGGGATCAGTTAGTAATGTATATTAATATATTATAATAGTATAATACCATTAATTATAAATACTAGTATTTATAATCAACGATAATACTCAATTTGTCAAAAAACAATCAATTTTCAATAGTTTTACACAATTTCAACACACCAAAAGTGCAAACCATGTAGGTTAGCAGGTACATACATAACACAATACATAGTAAATGTAAAACACAAAATGAAAATAATTTTAATCAGCAATGTAATCCTTGACCTTCATATTTAATCACTAATTGCCTTATGTATGAAATGGCTGCTTCATCTAATCTTAACTTTGAAACTTCAGAATCAAATTGATCAATTCCTCCTTGACCAACAACATAACCATTTAGTCTAGCAGCTACATGAGAATTAATCAGATCATCTCCAGTCTTAAGACCAAGGTCGTTGCACAGGTTTTTGTGTTGTTGCAATCGGTATTTTTGATGGTAACTAAAAATATTATATCAGAATTTTGTTAACAAGATATGGTCTTTACAAAATTAATAATATTTACTCTTCAGCATTGAAGAATTGACCAGCTGGTTCTATTTTAGTCAGGACATCAAGACCCTTGGCTTTCTTCTCATTAAGAGTTAGCTCGGCTTCTGCTTTTTGTTGATCATTATGATAATATATGAACGAAGAGTACTAGAAATAGTTTTAAAAAATACAATTAAATAAATATATAAAAATATAATAAATTTGTATTATTTTTTTAATACTTAATTATTAAATGCATTGTAAGTATACATTCCAAATAAAAGTAGGTATTTAAATGATGAAAACATACTTGCTTTTTAAACTTTGCAGTTGGATCATGGTGGTCCCAAAACATTTTCAATAACTCTAAATAAGAGACGGTATTTGGGTCGTATTGTAATTGAATGGCTTCTGTATAGTCACCACTAAAATTAGACAAAATTATTTATTTGTTAAAAATTTTAGATTTTTATAAAATGGTAAACTTACATGTTTCTATATGTGGGAATTAAACCTTCAGTTCCACCTGCATAACCAACTCTTGTAGTAATAATTCCAGGAGTAGATCCAAAAAGACTGTCAGGAGCCCAAAAACAGCCCATAGAAAATGTTGCTTTTTCTGATGGAATGTCAAGATAATGTAATGGTTCCATTTTCTATAGAAATAAAACAAAATGTTTAATATCTAATACGAATATAAATAAACTGTTAATTTTATTAGTTAAAAAAGTTATGTTATATTTTTAAGCTATCCATTGAGTTACTTACTCACAATGAACAGAAAAATGAAAACTAGTTTAAAACTAGTTTTACTTAGTTTAAATAGGGTATATTGAACCTACATATTTTAATTGGTATTGTTATATCTTGAAGTAGACCATATCAAACCGCAAAATACAAAGATTATAACTAAACTCAAATATAAAATAGGTACTTATATAAAGCCAAATAAAACAAAACGAAAGGATGATTTAATTTCAAATAAATGTTGCGGTAGAAAAAATAAATGATCGTTGAGATTAACTGATAAATGTGGAAATGTGGATAACTATAACTAACAAATAACTTAGTTTTCTGATGCAACATGAACCACTTGAAAATAAATAATTCATATATAGTAGTATACTATAGCATATAATTTATACAATTAACAAGAATGTAATCTTTTTTCAACACTTCAATAACATACTAAGCAGTGGCATAACTGGGTAAAAAACTAGGGGGGAGGCAAAATACTTTATTCACCAAAATCAAAACCATAATATAATTGATTGTTTTTACACACAAGTCTTAAAGCTTATTGTATGGCTTGGATACAAATTACAAGTACCCAAATCGTTAAATAATAATATTTAGTAGATAAGTATGTAAGAATTCATTATAAAAAAAAAAGGAACTATAAATACAGCATATTTTAAAATATTAATGTGATATTTATTATTCTATACCTAATCATAATTTATCTCATAAAAGAATATTATTGGGTTATTTTTGTAACCGAGATAATCCGATAAGGTTTAAGGTTTAAATTATTTTTATCTTACCAATGTACACTGTTAAATGTATAGCATTCTTTCTTTATTTTAGAAGATTTAAATATTTCTACTGTTGGCTTATTTATCTATAAATTCAATACCTATTGCAAAGATTTGTATGATTGTCTTTAAATATTTACATTAAAAAATAAGAATCAGGAAAGAAAATCATAAAAACAATTGTAATTATATTCAAACGCACTTGATTAAATTTTTTTTTTATTATTATATTTGTAAAATAATGTTTGTGCCATATTTTTAGGAAAGAATGTTTACAAAATGTATAATTTAACTTAACATTATAATTGATGTGGTTATTTAATACAAATTTAGTTGTGCACTAATCATTAAATCAAAAATAATTTTTATTTACAAATAAGTCAAAAAAAATTCGCAAAATATAGTAACTGTAAAATGTATTGAATTATTTACTGCATTCCTATCTTAAATATTATTTTTAATTTTTATAGGTATTAAAATGTTGAAAAAAAAAGTGAGATTATTGTATAAAGAAATAGCTTATTATTTTTTGAAGATTTTAAAATAAAAACAAATTTTCATTAAAAAAGAACTACCTATGCACAAAGAAAATTAGTTCATCTAACAGTCATAATATTTATTATTATGTTTTCAATAACTAAAATTATTTACTGGGTTTTATTAAATTACCGAAAAATAAAATAAATTGAATATCAAGACAAATAAAAAATGAGTTTTAGATTTAATAAAATTATACATTTATTTATTATTGTAATATTTCTCTTACCGTATTGAGATATTTTAATAGTCAAATAGTTAAGATGTTAGGTTAGGTTAGTCAACAGTCAACACACAACATTACAGCTATAATACTAATTTTAAATAGAAAAATATTAATTTTTGGAATGTGGACTTTAATCTTACATAATATTAATTTATGTACATTGTACAACTGTAGGAGAGTAAAATATGTATCTAATACATATTATTATTATAAATTGTAATAAAACATGCATAATCAATATATAATAATTACATCACAATTATTATTATAACAATAGATAACCATAGGTGTGCTCAGGATTTTTTCGATGGGATGTACAGAATAATTTTAGTAGGGATAACCCGTCCTTCGATATTTTTTATTTTGCAATTTATATTTAAAAAAAGCTGATAAGTAGGTAAACGCTCTGATGTACATGGTATTGAGCAGGTCACCGTAATTGATGAGTTAAATTTGAATTCAATGAAAAATATTTGTATACCAAACTATTCTGATCAGAGATGATCTAACTTTTTGTTAAACCAAAGTTACCAAACAATTATTTTAATAATAATATCAAAATGTTAACAAATGTTTGTATTTTTTTTCCCCCAATTATTTTAAAAAGTACTAAATAATTTCTACTTTTGGCCCACTAATGTACAACCTAGCTACCAAAAAACTACTTAAAAACTACTTTTTAAATTCTGAACAAAATAGTAATGTATGATATGAATAGTAGGTATTTATTTTACAATGATTTGTGTTTTTATTTTTTTTATTAATTTCTTGTAGAGAAATTGCTTTGATCACCAACTTTGAGTAGGTAACTTTTATAACATTTGTAAATACAAAACAACTTTAAAAACCTAGAAAAAACCTAACCTTTACAAGTATGTAGAATTGAACGCAAGATGTGCAGCTACAGACCTGCTGCCCACGTCTATGTTTTTAACTTTGTGACTGTTATGTGTTACAGGTTTAGGAGATTAATAAATTATTATATAACAAGATTTATAATTTTAAACTTATTTGTAGAAGTTATTTAATTTATATTTTATTAATTCCCAACTTTAAAAAGATAGTTATGTTCTGTTTAATTTTTAATTATACTTATTTTATTACTAATTATTTTATATAGATATTTAAGTTTGTTTAGTAAGTAATGTTACCACAACTTTTCTATTGTCAGTAATGTATTACCAAATTTAGCTCTGTATATTATATTATATTATATTATATTTTATAATATATTACTATATTAAAATATCATAATTTGAAAACAAATGATTCAATGAATTTGATAGTTTAATTTAAAAGCAAAGCAAAGAAAGTTATTAAGTAGTAATACTTAACAAATATGTAAATATTAAATTACTCATTTGTTTATCTACCTAAAATATTTAACTTTGAAAATACAAATAGGTAGGTACCAAAAATTGAATGGTTTAAGGTTAGCTAAATATTGTTTTCATATATGTATATACCATACACTAAATCAATATCGTAAATAAAATAATGTTATGTAATTAGCCAGCTACTGAGACTACTGCTATAACAGACAACTTACATTTATGTTTGAGTTAAACACTTTGAAGATTCTTGAAAACATATAACGTGTGATCTGTCAAGTTTGACAAAATGTAATGGTAAAAATTGATTTGACTAGATTAAAGTTCTAAATTTTAAGTAAGTATGCGTTCTTAATGAATTAGGTTATTTAATTGTTAATATAAAAAATTCCAAACTAGCCACGAGTCTTGTCACTTTTATATAATACACACAGGTTTATAAAACTAGGTAACTTACTAACTTATGATAGTTGGACATTGGAAAAAAAGGATACCTAATGAATTACACCTAACAACCACATATGACATATTCACGTAATCACATGACACATATACGTTTAAACGTTTGTGAGCTCTGTTTTCTGATGGTGTGAATGGTGTGATAAAGTAAACAGTAAAAACTAAAAAGTACAACCTTAGACCTTACGATCTTTTATCTTTTTATCATATCTTTGATAACACTTTGAAATATTTTTTATGATTAATATGTTTATCACGAACTAAGATAAGGCAAATACTTTAAAATGATTTTTACCACAGAATAAATATTCTGTTATTTTACCGGAAGGCGACCATTTTTTGTGGACAACAGTTATTTGATACTTACGCCTACTACTTCTAATTCGTATAACTTTAAAAATTATCATTACCTCTTATTAATTAAAAAATTAACCGAACCTTCTATCAAGTGTCATCGGCACTGCGATAACGGGGCGATACGGAGCCATTCCATAGTTCCATCCTATGGGAATTTTATAAATGATGTATTTTTTTTTATAAAAGTAGTTCAAATGTCTTAAAAGTTAAAAGTTAAAATGATAATCCATAAATTTAGAAATTTATGAAATTAAGCAGAAATAAAATTGTTAATATTGTTATCTAATCTTATCTATAATCTATTGACCATAATAATTATATGTGTGTATTATTCCAAAATTATACCTAACTGTAAAATTCAACCCCCTTACCTACCATTTTAGATTTTCAGAATTTCAGATCCACACTAAGGTGTTAGTATAGCAATACTTATTAACTAGTTAGCAGTGCTTAGGCAATACATCAGTTGTGAAACTATTAAAAAACATTGGTTTTAGGGGAACTACATTTTGAACCTAATAATTCATTTATACTGGCCTTCCGGTGTTATTGTTTAAGTTTTTGGATATAGAGTCATAGAGATGGAATTATGTATCATGTGAGCATAAGCGCAACTAGGGAAATGCTGAGGGACTTGTATACCCCCTCCAGTTTAAAATCTGCACCCCCAAAAAACAAAAGACTTTTTCCATTATATTTTGATTAAGTAGGTATAGGTATTTTGAAGTAAAAGTTATCAATAAATACAAACATTTTGTACTATACCAATATATTGTACATTGAGGAATAAAATGGGAGGCCGTATTAATCCGGAAAATAAATGGGCGGAATGTATAAATTCCGGACTGTATATTTACTGAAAGTATTGTAGATTGCCTATTTGAAACCCCTGAAAAAGAAAGTTGAGAACTTTATTGCTAGATCTTTATTGCCAGTAGGCTAGATTGGCCCGAGCTTTAATTGTTATTAATTAATATTCTTATTGTGCCATATTATGTTCATTTTTATATTTTATTAAAAAGATAATATGTGATCATAATTTGGTCACATTATATTATAATAAATTTTATATAATTAAAAATAAATAATACCCATAACAATATATTTTTTATTATTCTTATATAATTATTCTTATTCTTTATATTTCTTTATTATTAGTTGTCAATTCAGCGATGAATATGAATTTACTTTACAATAATGTGTGTTTTTTATTTAAATCTGTTCGTAATTAAAATAATTGCTATGTAACTTAGGTTAGGTACCTACCAAAAAGTTAGACAGTCTTCTCACTGAGAAACATTTCTTGTCGTGTGCTTCAAATTTAACACATCCATTACAGTTACATACTCAAATATTCAATGATGAGATACATTTGATACCTACTGCACAGTTAAGCTGTTAAATACTTGACGAATTTTTAAAATCATTGCATATTTTAAAAAAACTTTTTTTTTAAAACATTTATTTATACCTGCACATAGTTGTATTAAATAATAAGTAAAACGTATGTTGTATGATCACTCCAGGATTAACGCTTAATTTGTTTTTAAGAAAGTAAACTTTCGAACACTGTGGACCATTCAGTACGTTTCAGAACTATAGAATTTGGAGTTTACAAATAAGATGCAGATACATTAACAAATTACCATATTAGTATATTACATACCATATTATGAAAGCTCGATGGATATTTTTTCAAATAGTTTACACAGGCGATGTGTTTAATTCATTAATTTATGAAGTTCCTGTTAATTGGCACATGTAGTTAATTTTTCCAACAATATATATTATTTATTTATTAAATCATCATAAACATTACATTGATATACATATAATATATAATATATAATATATTATTTGATGTTATAATAAAATAGGATGATGCAGCCAAAAAATGCATATAGTATCATAAGTACAACAATTATATTATTATTTATTAATAACCAAAAAAGTTTTATATTAATTTTGATAATTGTACCTTAAATATAAATAAATTCTTATTCATAGGTATTGCATTAAATAAAAACAGTCCAGTTTAGATATTATTTTGATGATTGAAAATATTATAGAAAAATGTAATATACAGTAAAACTTCCGTTAACGGTCACCCTTTATGTAACGGTCAATTTTTTTGGTCCTGTCGAGTGTTATACTAGTTTTGTCCTACCTCTGTGGGACGGACAGCTCTAAATAGCGGTCATTATTTACAGTACCTTCGGTGACCGTTATATGGAAGTTCTACTATATTTAAAAATATTAAACATGTAAAATACCTAGCTATGTAATATTTGTTTGGAACTTTAAGTTTTTAACGCCTTAATGGCTAATACTTACATATTATTATTATTATAACGTATTATCATGTTAATATTCGTATGATAACAATTAGTAGGTACGTTGTATTTTAACTGTCCACTATTCCTAAATACCTAATTAACAGGACAATAACGCCCGTTTTTTAAAGGTTTCGAACGATTCTAATGATTTCTTATGATAATTGTTCACTGATTTTCGAGTTCTCATAAGTCATAACCATAAGTGAGCGTTTTGGTTATTCTGTGTTTGGAATGTTTTATATCTGTGGGATATTCATAACCACGGCCTTAAAAGGCAGTGTTCACATAGATAATAAAGATATGGATAGGACATAATGGTCTTATCAGCGGTCTTCCAGGGGAATAATTGAGGCCAAATAAAGTATATCTATATGGAGTATCGACTGTCAACAAACAATGTAAACAAATCGCCTCAATTTCTTATCTATGTTGGACCGCAAAACTAATACGTACCTAATGAATTTGAGGCGTTCTATCCATGTATTTATTATCTATGACTTATGAGTGTTCATAACATAATTTGTTAAGAAAATTATCACTTGTTGTTATCAATGTTTAGTTGGGGGCAATTCTTCTAAATAAGTGAAAAATTATAATGATATATTTTATACACGGACTAAGATTTTATACCAGTGATCCAGCATGTGGCGCCAATGTGAAAAAAAACACAAAAATATCTAGTATACTCGTTACATATTTATCACTTGTATCATTATTTATCACTCATGAATTCTCAGGGAGAATGCTGTTATTAGAACAAATATGCGACGAGTAAATAATTTTTTTCTTAAGGCGCCCGGTGCCGATGTCATATTGTCCTCACTCCTCAAAAATACACTGAGGGAATAACGATACTGCCTTGTAGAATCAACCAAATTTCATAATTTTTTTTTTAATTGCTAGAGGGAAATATTCTACAGCCCTCATCGATTTCTGTTTTTCAATATTTTATTCTCAAACTTTATAATATAAAAAAAGGAATATAATTACTAAAAAACAAGATAAAAAGTATTTTTTACAAACTTTTTAATACAATTATTTGGAATAAAATACAAAATCAGAGATCGATGCGGGCTGTAGGACGTCTTCTTCTTTCAGATAAAAAAAATAGTCATCAATGCAAATATAAACAATCAGTGAAAATGTCATGTATCTACGGTAATTTGTTTTAAAGTTACACCTGCAAAAACCAAATTCAATTTTGGATATTAATAAAAACATAATATATGCAGGTGCGACGTCCTCTTAATAGTCACTATATCGGTCACGACAACTTCACACTATTTATAATCAATGATACATAATTGTTTATAGACAGCTATTCAATTCGTAGAATGAAAATGTAATTATTTTAATAATTATTAAGAACTTCTCAAGATTGTAAACAAAAATACTTTTCCTGAGTTGAAAAAAAATAATGTTTATTTCGTATTTATATTTACTTTAAACGAATAATAATAATTAATAATAGTTTAGGGACAAAATCAGGGCCCCCAATTGTCATAAATCGGGGCCCCATCCGAAATTGCGGACTAGCGGTCCGGGCCAGTCTGACTCTAAATTTACCATGGCGACCAATTACATATATTATATTATTTTGAAATTTCCGATGGAATGTTTTCTATATAAATGGTGGCCATGGTGATATGTTAAAAATTATTATATAGAGTTGGCAATTTTAACGGGCAATGAAGTGCACGGGATCAGATATTTATATATATTATATATATATACAGTGCCAGATTAACGTATAGGCAGGGTAGGCACGTGCCTAGGGCTAGATAAAAGTGGCCCTCAGAGGGGGATATTTTTTTTTAAAGTGGCACTGACGCACTGTGTCAGATGTCAGTTTAACCGGGCGTTAAAAGGTGCAGCCGTAGCATATTGTACCGGGGAATGGGTATTTTCAGTGAAAAACGGGTAAAAAATTACTTACGATCTTCTATGTGAGAGGAAAGGTTAAACGCATTAGCTCTACTGAATATTGAAAATGAATTATTAAATGTTATCGATTTAAATGATGCAATAAATTACTTCAGCTTTAAAAAAGTAAGAAAAAAGTTGTGAATTAAAATAATTTAATAAATCTAAACATTTTTATAATTTTGTTTTCTTTTTACAATGGGCTATAAAAAAATGTATGCCTAGGGCTACAGTCGATCTTAATCCGGCACTGTATATATAGATAGATTAGACCTCTGTGCTGAAGATATACTAATTTAAAAAGAGAAAGGACCAATACCGGGAGGTGCACAAACAGGTATTTTGAGATTTCCTATATAGACATTTTGGTTTATAAATGGTTCATAATTGCAATGGGTTTTGAAGTTGTTATAATAATAACTATTGGTTTCCTGGCAACAAAATGCAAGGGATCATTTAGTACAGAGATAGGTTAGACTTCTGGGCAGAAGATGGGCTAATTTAAAATGGGAGAGGATTGGTTTAAAATTGTTGTTATACTAACCGTTATATTATGAAAAAAAACATAATATTCATATAGAATTGGCATTTTTGATGGGGAATGAATGATAAGATTATCATTTCACATTTTTATAGTTATTCCATTTAAATGTATATTAATAATAATAATATATAATAATATTTTTAATGAGTCCAGCGTTCTCTGCCGTACGCGAAACGACGAAATCGAAAATAGTTGGGTTTTTATTCAACGACGACGATGACGATAACGAACGACAAATTATAAAATTTAACATTCGACGACGACGAAAATGCTATACAGTACTGCAGTGCATGACAAAATATATCTATTTTGTCATGCTGCAGTAGACATAGGAGTAGTTGGACGTTGGAGTTATACCTCCGCAGCCGGCGTCGTAAACGTATGCCGCTATGACGTAACAATACGGCAAACTTAATACTTCTAATAACTATTAGGTTTTTCGGACATTTCTCTTTTGATGGCTCATCTGCACACCGAGTACTTGCGCTACAAAAAGAAATCATGAAAATCGGTCCAGTAGAACTTCAAATACAAGTATACAACTGTCATAAAAAATCGCCTCACGTTTTAATAATATAATATAAAGATAATAATATATAATAATATACCTAATAAACTGATATACCGATCAAACATCACAGTACGTATTTGTTCGTCGTTTGTTTGTACATCGTTTCATATATTATCATTTATCATATTATGATATATTAATGGATTTTAAGAATTTGTTGACCCAAGTGCCCAAGTGATAGAAATGCCGGAATTCTATCTATTTCTACATTAATATTATATCAATATATCTATCATCGAATTATTATTATTATCGGATCAATAAATAAACTCATTATTTTATATTTATTATTTATACGATGTACTTATTGTTATATGGATGGGGGCTTATAACAAACCTGAGTGGCGGTGCTTTAAAGTTTTCACTCACCGTGGCGGGGCTGTAACATACCAGTAACAAAACGTGTTCTAAACTTCTAACCACAACCGTTCCTACCTTATACAAACAAAAACAGCTAATGACCATAGTTGCCGGGCTTAACTCAATAAAACAAAAAAAAATATCTATTTTATTATGTCTTGATCAACGTGTGTGGCACAAAGTATTGCATTTCACCCAACTACCCAAGACTTAAATTGCTTTTCCGCACGAGCTATTCGCCCATAGGCGAAATTTCAACTTTTGGCTGAGTATACTAAAGGCAAGCAGACCATTACAATATATCATATTAAAATTGTATGTCCTAGGTTTTAGGGGGGCTACGGCTAAGTTGGGCCTATGTAGTATGTATACATATTATAGTCTGGTCAGAACGAGATCGGTACAGGCGGACAAATAGTGCGCATGGAAGTGGCTTTGTTCCTTGGTAGCGCCTGACGCGTCGCCGCACAGTGGGACGAAACCCATTTCTAGTTTACATAAATTAGTAACTCTAAAACTATATTACATAATATTGTGAGAATGAATTAAATCTATTACTTTTAAGGTTGCTGAACCCAAATTTTGCATCAGTTTTTTATTTGGCCCATTGTCAAGTAGGAATTAAGGGGGTACAATTTTTAAATTTCAAAAAAAAATGATATTTTAAATGAGTTAATATGTTTTTAAGACTGCTAAACTCAATTTGTGCATACATAGTATAATTGTAGTATTTTTACTATAAAACCATTTTTTGATGCCATTTCGTTTGTTTTTCGTAGACGTGTTTTTACCGCTGAAAATGACCTCTTAATAGGAGCTCATAAGGACAATGAGAAGGAGGTACCTTATATTTTTAAACATCAAAGCATTTTTACATTTTATTCTTTTTAATATTTTTTACCAAATTTTTAACAATATAATAATAAGAATAAATAAACAATAAAACAACCTAATCGGATTCTGATGAATAACTATCATGCAAGTCGTCTGAACTCTGAATCACTTTCTGTATTACTATATCCTCAAAATCGGATAATATGAAAAGTGGCTGTACTTCAGTTGAATATTCAAGTTTATTTTTATTATATCTACCATGACTTGTACCAGCTAAAATAAATACGACTTTAAAATAAAATGTTATGCTTATAATTAAATATATTAAAACCTTCACATTCTTGATTCATTGCAAAGTACAAAATTACAAAAAATAACAAAATTGTCAATTTTTGCACAAATATATTATAGTTTTTTATTGAAATATTTTGAATCAAGTAACACAACTATAATAGTACAATGCGAAAATATTACCAAAACTGATCAAATAATTGTTACAAAACGACCTGTTTATTCATTAAAGAGTAATAACTAATTGATAACGGCCGCGGATAACGATTATTAATAAATATAATACGCCGTACGGTATAAAGCTATCAGTTCCGTGATCCGCATATCGTGTCATACTTAAGCCCCTAAAATCAAGAGGGGCAGATAAAGGCAAATTATTTATAGTTATTTTTAAACATTGGTTTGACCGTCGCCCGACGAAAACTGGTCACCGCCGTGTACCGATCTCATTCTGAACGCAGAACAGACTAATAGACTATAGATAGGTACTATTTTTGGCCACGCCCCTCAGCCACTGCCTTTATACATAGATATTATGATAGGTAATCCATATTCCATAATTAACTGTTCTTGCTGTTTTCGGTGTCTAGACAAGCAAAACTGTTTCATAGAAAAAACTGAAAAGCATTTACTGTCTAGTGGACGGAAAATAGTAATTTTCCAATGCTTTAACTGGCATCGAAAATTAAACCTTCGGTGCAGGTGTGAGTGTGTGACTAAAAACTATGGGATGTCAGGTCATCATGGGCGTGCTCACGGGGGGGGGGGGGAGTCAAGGGGTTTGACCGGGGAGTCACACCCCAACCCACATTGACAATTCTTGAGAACGTATTTTTAATCTTCTTAACTTAAAATTTGATAATAGCTGGTGAATTGTGAATTCATTAAAGATAGAGTTGCTATGTTAGCATGTTGCGCGCCGGCTAGAGAGAAAATAAATTGTCAATAGTGCCCTGACATCCTCTTAAATCTTATTTTCCTATTGGCGATGAGAATAACTTATGCCTGAAAAAGAGCACTAAGGAGTCATATTATTAGCAATATTAGCATCTATATAGCAGCGACGCAGCGTGTTCACCGCTCATCAACAAGTCGGTCGGTAAAGTTCGGAAACTTATCGCGAACATTCGGAGTACCTACGTTCTAATTGCGACTGGGGAGGGGAAACGTATCGACTTTCGGTCTCAACCACGTGGTTATGAGTTATGACCGCGGCCGTTGCGAATTGCATGTATGTCCATTGTCCGGTCCGTTGCCTGTCACACACGTTTTAGTAAATACGAATCGAATAATATTACAATAATGAATAAACAATTATATTTATAGGAAATAGTGTAGTACCGATTACCAAAATACCATTCATTGTAATTGTTGTACAAGTATTTTATATTGTTTTAATATACCTACCTATACCTAATAACTAATAAGTATTTATAATCCATATTCAATGGTAACACTATTATACGATTAACGGTGTACCTACATTCAATGAATACCTGTTATACCGGCCCATATTAGCGTTCAGCTTTCGTTCATCGTTAAAAGTGATTCAAACGTCAAAATAATATGTATGTTTCCTGTGGTTCCAGTAACGACTTGGATCGTCAAATCGAACAGCTTAGGCAATGCGAAATCATCGGGGAACAGGAGGTGAAAGCATTGTGTTTCAAAGCACGCGAAATACTCATTGAAGAGAGCAACGTGCAACGCGTCGACTCGCCCGTCACCGTGAGTTTAATAATAACTATAGGAAATTAGGAACAAAATTATCATTACTTATAAGCTAGGCATAACAGTTGAAAAAACATCATCGTCATCAATGTTATTTTTTTTCTGAAATGCATTTACCTTTACCATGCAGGGGTGGCTCCAGGAGTTCCTTAGGGTCCGTGGCCCCCCAACCTGTATTTCTAAACAATTTTGAAAATCATTGACATTTTCTGAAAATTATGACTTGGCCCTCCCTAACGATGTCTCTGGAGCCACCCCTGTTACCATGTAGGTAGGTTATATCTCGTAGGTACTATATAGGTTCCTATGCCAGCTTGATATCAGTATCTGTGCCGAGTGCTGCAGAAATACCCGAGGAAATAATTAATAATACCCACCTATATTATTTATTATTTTACCTAGGTAAAACAATATTTAGAATCCACGTGCATGGCATATTTTGTGGTAGACATAAACTTACAATATAAACTTATATTTGGGTAATCGGGAATTCGGCTATTGGTATTTACTTCAATGCGAGCTCGTGGAATTTCGATTTATATCAAAAACGTTAGATAGCTTCACTATAAAAAAAATTATACATCAATGTTGCATATTTTCTTTAAGGCTTTTTTTATGTTTAACATCATTCACATTGAAAATGCTTTGGAAAATGCAATTACTCTAAATAAAGCCTTACATACTATTATAGTCTTAGTTCTTACTATTGCAAACTCTATGGTATGCCTTTATGATGAGTACCTTCCTACTATTTAGGAATTGTATAATGTTCAATGTTTGGCAAGTTCCTTGTAAAAAGGAATTCGTTCCGTTCCACGTTATTTTTTTTTAAAAAAGGAATTCGTTCCGTTCCTTGTTCCTTAAAAAATAAAAGAATTTGTTCCTTTGGAAAATGAACGAGTTCCTTTTTTAGTTCCTAATAAAAAAAAATTCTTATTTAATCATTAATGTTTTTTTTTCAAATGCATACTTCTTCAATTTTTGATTCTGATATAAACAAGTAGATGCATATTTTATAATTCTATTTTACATTATTTTTCAAAATTTAATTGTTGGCCAACGTATGTCGATTGTCTTAATGTTGGATACTCGATAACGATCACTAATTAGCAATATTCATTATAGACATAAAAATAATATTTCTTCATTTCAATTATTTACATACTTATCTGCGTAAATTGGAACTAGAAAGGAACGAACAATTTTGTTCTTTTTCCTTGTAAAAGAGAACTAGTTCATTTTCCCGTTCCTTTTTTATAAAAAAAGAATTTGTTCATTGTGCCGTTATTTAAAAAGGAATTCGTTCTAGGAATCTGTTCCTTTTGGAACTTGTTCCTTCCAAACCCTGATAATATTGAATATGTAAAAAAAAAATTGTCTAGAAAGTTAATAATTCACTAAGAACATAAATTAATATAAAATAGATGGATGACTCTTGCCTACATAAAAAAACCTATAGGTAGTAAAAAACAAATAAAATTTCCTAGACTTTTAAAGAAGCACATTAAAAAGCCAGATTTGTATGTAAGTAACGATCTGCTAAGTAATATTATGCTCCTGCCATATTTCCAAGTCACAATTTATTTACCAATCCATCCATAAAACCTCCTCTAGTAGTACTCTGGAGTAGATTAACATATGAAATAAATGGGCTTAAGCCTTAGTCTATTAATTTTTTTTTATCACCAACGCCACCAACATTTGTTCGTCTCATTACTTGCTGTGCGTCTGTTGGTTTTTTCATTATAATTTAATTTAATCTAATTTTACAATTATTATTAGTAAAACAATTAATTGACCTATTCTATTTGATCAATTTTTTATGTTTTTATTCAATAAATAATTTAAATAAGTAAAAATGTTTAACTATACATAATGTTTAATTTTGTATGCTAACTATATATACCATGGTGTGTATGTTATGTGCGTTTTTGTTATTAAATATTTAAAAAAGGTATTTGTTATTATTTATTTTGAAAATATGCCTTTTTTTTAAAGCTTTCCTCCTTAGGCCCATTTTGCTGTTAACCTGGGCCTGGTTGTACTGCATACATCTAATTGGAAATTGAAATTGATCAATCTGTTTTTGTACCTATTATTATCTTTATTCTCTAAATCAAATTATTTAAAATTGTATTATATAAATATTTAAAAACCTTAAAAAAATATTTCATTCATTAAATTATGTTACAGGTATGTGGAGATATTCATGGACAGTTTTATGATCTAAAAGAATTGTTTAAAGTAGGCGGTGATATTCCTGAAAGAAATTATTTATTTATGGGTGATTTTGTCGATCGAGGATTCTTCAGTGTTGAGACATTTTTACTTCTACTTGCCTTAAAAGTAGATACACATTTAGTTAACTTGTCTGGTATTGAGTACTTTACTAATTTTAATATTTTATGGTAGAACATTCAATGCTTTTTAAATCTTAAAAATCATCCATGTTAGGAAAGTGATTATTGATGTAATTTACCAAGATATTAATAGTAAAATATATAAGGAGTTTCTTCCAACATGATATTATATTATCTACCTACACTGTTATGTCACTTATTATATTATTAACTAAAGTTCTTGTAATGAAGCTATTATGGCATAATGATGAACCTATAATGTGTATGCAAGCATATGGTAGCTGCATACTTGGGGTAGTTTTCCTAATTCCGAGTACCTACGGTTCTCAGAATCCTTTTATAGTACCTACCTAAATATTAAAATTCATATTTTTACTTTAAATTGTAAATTTATTGTTATATTGTAAATCATAAATTATCCAAGTTAATATTACAAAAAATATTTTAAAAGTATGTGGAATAATATTTCAATATTTTAAATACTTTATTCGGAATACTATTTTTATGGAGTATCTTATTACATGTTCAAAATTTTATTTTTCATAAGTATTTGAGTTTTATTTTCAGATACTTTTTAAAGGTATTTAGACAATTAATTTATTCGGTAGTCAATACATTTCTCGAGAAGACCACACAATATAGTCAATTAGAAACATTTTAAGTTTCACTAATTCTTTTATGTGTCATAAGAAAACTATTGTTTTTGAAAAATGTACTTGGTATACATATTTTAATATACCTAATAGTAATATATATAATATTATATAATAACATGTACTATTTAAACTAACTAATTAAATGTGACTTGTCTTGTATGTTGTACTTATCAAATATCATACATTGTATATACCATATTGGCTACTTATTAATTCTCTACTGTTTGATTAATAAAATGTATTATTTCATATTTGTTTCACTCCATTTAATTTATTTTATTTTATTCTAACCAATTTATTATAAAAATGTGGTTCTCAATATTTTATTATTTTGATGTTCATTATTCAGTGAGAAATAGTTATAAAATTATTTTTATAGGTAAGATATCCTGATCGAATAACATTAATACGTGGTAACCATGAATCACGACAAATCACTCAAGTTTATGGTTTTTATGACGAATGCTTACGAAAATACAATAGTGTTGCTGTATGGCGTTATTGTACTGACATTTTTGATTATCTGAGCTTATCTGCTATTATTGATGGAAAAGTATGTTTAATTGATTGAAATATATATACAATACATTCTTGCTGTTCTTTGTTCATTAAAATAGTTTTCAATGTTTTTTTGTTTTAAATATTTAGATATTCTGTGTGCATGGTGGTTTGTCTCCTTCAATACAAACATTGGATCAAATTAGAACCATTGATAGAAAACAGGAAGTTCCCCATGATGGACCTATGTGTGATCTATTATGGTCAGATCCTGAAAGTAAACTCCTAAAATAATCAATCATTAATATTCAATATAGTTGTGAAATTATAATATATGTGTCTTAGATACTCAGGGATGGGGTGTGAGTCCTCGAGGTGCTGGATACCTATTTGGTTCTGATGTTGTCTCCCAGTTTAATACAACAAATGATCTAGATATTATTTGTAGAGCTCACCAACTAGTCATGGAAGGTTATAAATGGCATTTTGATGAAACTGTCCTTACTGTTTGGTCGGCACCCAATTATTGCTATCGGTAAATACTTCTTACTCTTATTATAAAATACATAATATCTATGGTATAATTAATATTTTATATATTTATATACATTATTAGTTGTGGTAATATCGCGGCAATATTAGAACTCAGCGAAACACTTCAAAGAGATTTTATACTATTCGAGGCAGCTATACAAGAAGGACACGGAATGCAAACAAAAAAACATATAGCTGACTATTTCCTTTAAATATTCTCTAGTTCTTAATGTATTTAATTTTAATTCTCATAGCATTACCGAGAGAAGGACTGTTTCAACACATTTAAATTAATTCTATATCTATTTGTAAGAATAATGACAATATAATGATGTATATTTATTTTTAAGCAAAAATACTTGTATAATGTTTATGTTATAATTGTACTACCTTGAATTTTTATATTTTTACATTCATTATTACTGTAATTCATGATTATCGTAAAATAATAATTGTAGATGTAATTAAATATTAATAAACAATAAGTAATAATTAATAACTAATGAGTACATACTATTTAATAAGTAGGTATTACTATTATAAATTATAATATATTATATATTATATTATATTATTATGAATCGGGGTTTCGTGAGCTCGTATCTATTGATGTCTTTATAGGGGTGACTAAATAATGTTACATTGTTACCCGTATATTATTATTAATTATTACCTAATTAATATAACATTATAATTGTAGATGAAGTTATAAATCAATTTGCAAAAAAATCAAAATCAAAAATTAGATTTTATATTGTAATTTGTGTTTTGTGATTTTCTTATCTTTTTGACTTATGTACTATGTTGTATTATATTTTATACAATCTATAGTAATTTCATACACTTTTTACTTTTAAAATAAATTAAAACTCATCTTGTAAGTTTAATAAAAATAAAAATTTAGTCTGATAGAGGTGCTCTAAAGTTAATAATTTTTATATGCATATATTTTTTACAATATTGTCACAATGAAGCAATTAATAAGATTATTAATAGCTAATGTGGGTTATCTGATTTTGGACCATTTTAATATATTTCAATATAACAGGTGCTTATCATCAAATGTGAAAAAAAAAATGTGATGTCCCATCCGGAATCTAGTAACAGCGATCATTACTTACTCTCAGTCGCCAAGCCAAGCCGCGATATAATATAATTATTGATTATAAATATATAATTATATAGTATTTATAATCATTGATAATATAATCTATGCACAATGATATTTTTAATAATATAATTTTGAGCTGTTTATATCAATATTCAATTACATTCTCACACAGTCATATAGATATAGGTTATGTACAATAAAACAATTAATATGTTATAATTATGTTTAATATTTAAATTTCTATATTAAGAACTCATCATCTTCAATACAAGCACAGTTTATAGAAGGTGAGCAGACAATATCTATTATTATTATATTTTCAAGTGTATTAATTGTTTGTTTGCGAATAAATGAATAAATAAATATATTATAAATGTTTATTGTACATATTTGTGCATTCTCATAATCTAATTCTATGGTACTTCGCAAGTCTGTATTGATTTATAACTTTGAAAGACAATATGTTATGTGATATTTTTGGAAAATAATTAGTCTAATCAACGAAATTTTTAAAATATTAATGTAAAACTATAATTAATATATGATGATTGATGACTATATAAATATTGTCATCGCTCGAAATAGTCGAAAAATTTCAAATTCACCGCGCAATCTTTCGCACGTGTTTACGTAGCCCTACCGACAATTCGCCACGAAGCTAGCCATTGCATTGGTCAAACATGGTAAAACCACTGTGAGTTGTGACAATAATATTATTGATAACACACATGTGATAACAAAAACAACGGTATTTTTTTAGTATTTTTTATACATCATAATTTTAGATTTAGTCGCTTAGTAGTTTAGTTTATGAATCTACCTGTTGAAAATTTTTCGGAATAATGTTTGCCATCAAATATAGGGCTGCAGGTGACTTTGAGTTTTGAACATTAAGTATTACAGTTGTTTAACGACGGGGTTCGAGAAACACCACCGTGTACGATAATGGACATTTCAACTATGCAAATCAAACCGGTGGCAGTAAAAGAAATGGTGTCACCGGTTGTTAGTCGACACTAAACTTTTCTCGGATAGAAATCGCTCGGATTCGTCGGCTCTTGAGCCTTTTGAGTAGGATGGATCACGCCGAGTTGGTGTTGGAAATGTCTCATTTGGAGCGGATGCCCACGGCCGATAGGTTGGCCCTAGCTAGACGGCGCCGGGTGCAACAATTACGACTATGGGCTCAAAAAGATCGCGAGCGTAGACGGTCATCTCCACCACGCAACAGTAGGCATATATATTTCAGTGACAATGTCATGTTGTTGGAAGCTGCTTCTAGAAACGATATTGAAGAAGGTATGACCTAAATAAATTATTATGAATTAATTTAATATTGTAGGGTAAGAGTTGACACTTGTAAATGTTTTCAGTAAAGAGACTTTTGGTCAAGGGGGTCAGTCCAGATGCTACAAATGAAGATGGACTTACTGCCTTGCATCAGGTAGGTACATTTTGTTTAGTAGAAAATCAAAATCATTGTGATTTTTAAAAAAAAATAAAAATGTTTTTTTAAATATATAAATTTTATTTAATAATAAAATATATATATGATTTGTATGAATCCAGAAAAAAATGTCACTATAAATAACAACATGGTAAAAACCAACATAAATGTGATTTTATTTTAAAATAATAATTTTTCACGACAATGCATCACGTCAAAATTGAGATTGAGTTGTGACTGATAATTAACTTTCTATCTAAATTTATGTGTGTTTGGCCCTTGATAATTTCTATTAAAATCAGTGCTTGATTGTTAGTTGGGTGGGGGAGGGGGTAGGCTTTGCGCATGGGTGAGCTCCTTTACTATTTTTTTTTTTTGCGTACCCCAACTTTTTTTTTTTACTTAGATGAAGTGACTGACAAACCTATGCCCGAAATCATTTTTATTAAAATATGGATTTAAAATGTTTAAATTGTTGTTAATGATAAATATCTAGTGAATGTTACAACTTTTAATATCAAAAATATTTTTGGTATTAGTTTATCATTTTTTCTATGGTTTAGAGTTTAAACTTTAGACTACCTACTACCTTGATATTTTTATTGAAGTTTTTTATATTATATCATGTTCGTTCTTTGCACTGAGTAGTGAACTGATATATATAATAAACTGCTGTTTTATCAAATATATACTGTCTGACTAGTGCTGACCATAGAAGTCCATAGAAATCTGGTAATTACCTATTAATATATTACCTTTTATAACAATTATACTAACCAATTATATTATATAAAATCAAATAAATAAATAATATATTATAGTTCATCACTTAAAGGTGTTTATCTAATATAAAAATTCAAAGTAATGAATAAAAGCAAATAGTTTAACTGTTCCAAGCAATAATTTATAAATTAGCAATACATTATATTAGTCTCAAATTTCACATTCTATGTTATTGTTTAAACTACAGTTGAGTTTTCTAAAATTATAAATTACCGTTTTTTTAGTGTAGGTATAGGTAGAAGTATATGCTATAATTAGTCTAGAAATTATACATTTCAGTATTCAAATTTGTATTGATGTTGATTATTATTTACAATTTTTTTAGTGTTGCATTGATGATAATGAACAAATGATGAAAATCCTAGTAGAGTTTGGTGCTAATGTGAATGCAGAAGATAGTGAAAAGTGGACTCCATTGCATGCAGCAGCCACTTGTGCTCATTTACACCTAATTAAATATCTTATTGATAAGTATGCTATTCTTATTATTTTTTATTTTTATGTTTTTCTTTGTAGGTTTACTTACAATAATTTATTTTTAGGGGTGCTAATTTACTTTCCGTAAATGCTGATGGTAACATGCCATACGATATCTGTGAAGATGAAGCTGCATTAGATCTTATTGAGAGTGAAATGGCCAGGCGAGGTGTTACACAACAATTGATTGACAATACACGTTCTACTACAGAACATCGAATGTTACAAGAACTCCAGCAAGCTGTTGAAAATAATCAGAGTTATTTACTAGAATCGTATGATCACCAAGGAGCTACACCTGTAATATATATATTTTTTTTCATTGTGGAACTTTATTCATTATTAAACATGCAATTGTATTTCAGTTACATATTGCTGCTTCCAATGGTTATTTAAAAGTGGTAGAATACTTATTGGACAACCATGTTGCAACTGATGTTAAAGATTCTGATGAATGGCAACCTGTTCATGCAGCTGCTTGTTGGGGTCATGTAAGTATAGTTTTTCTGTACACATTTATGTCTGGGTCACCATATTTAATTACAGATCGGATCACTGGGCATTTATACTATAACTAAGTTAGAACCATTATTTTTTTGTAATATGGTTTGATAAAACCTTCTTACAACAAACCCTAATGATGGAATACTGAACAGATCTTATGTAAATCAATTGGTAAATATGTTTATAATAAATGTCTTATTTTATATTTGTGATTAGTTGGAAGTGTTAGAGATATTGGTTCAAAATGGTGCTGATTTGAATGCTAAGACAAAAAATGATGAAACGCCTGCAGACATTTGTGAAGATCCAGATTTACGTGATCGTATATTACAATTACGTAATGAACAAGAGACCAAAAAAGAGGCCCAGAGAAGAAGAGTACGGCGTACACAATCAAATAACACAAGAGCTCAATCTGTTCGAAGGACATCTATTAGAGAAAAAACATTGACATCTAAAAAAGATGCAGTAGAAGAAGCTAGGTTAAGGGTTGAAGCTCAGAATGTAAGTAAAACTACCTGTTGATATTTAATAACACAATTTTTCATTATGTTTAGAGGACTGTTTCAGTTTTATAAATGGTAACATAATAAAATATATGTTTGGCAGTTCTCGTTTAGCTTTGTTAGTACTTAGTTTTAATAGTATACTGAGTCGATCTATTATTAAACTTGGCGGTAACAACGTTATTTTGTGGTTTGTTAGGAGTGTTTTTTTTTTTTATATATTTTAATTTTGAAGAAAGTTATGAGGATTTCAAAATGGTAATATTTTACACACTCAAACTCTAGCTTCAAAATTAAAATATTGATAATATAACTTTGACAAACCATCGAAAATTGTGATACTTTATGTTTAATAATAGGAGTAAAATCACTAAAATATTAAAACTAACAAAGCTAAATGAAAACTTCTAAACATAATTTTGCGATATTAGCAATTGTAAGATGAAGACAGCATATGCTGATCAGATATTCTCACTGCTGAGTTCAATAAAAACTAATTTGTTTTTATTTTTATTATTATTTTAGTTTGCAAAAAAGTTTTTGGCTAATGAGCGTACTACTAGTGACATTGAGGGAGATTCATCAATAGATTCATTTGTCCCAGTACCTATTCCTGTTCCTTCAACAATTCCTACTACAGAACGTTGTGAGCCTGAAGGTGAAGACGTTACTGAAGAAAAGGCTCAGTTGGAATCTGTTGATGTTGGTCCAGCTGCTGAAACCTGTTATACAACTGAAAGTGATGGTAAAATAAATATACATGTTTCGGTAACTATCAATGCGGGTACTTTGGCCGAGTTGAAGAAACAACGAGCACAAACTCGTGCTGCAGCTGGTCTCCTTTCTAATAGTGCTGATATGCCATCTGATTCTGGAGCTGGATTTAATAGATTTGCTGGTGATACTGAGGATGTGATCGTTGGCGATCCATTAAAAACAAGGCGAAAATGTTGTATAATTTTTTAATTTCTAAACTGCCTTTACTATTTGAATATTTGGAGCATAAAATATTTATTATTTTTTTATTGAAACTTAATATTTATATTTTCCTACTTTTTATTTTTTAAATTCTATAATTTTGGAATATATTATAATCCTTTTTTGTGTACTTAAACATCACTGAAAATTGTTCCGTCCTATAGAATTATTTTTTTTTTAGTTTTGAATTATTGCAATTTATAAGGGCCATTAGAATTAATTTAGATTATTAGTTGTTTACATAACTGTGATAAATTTGTGAGTGTTCAGAGAGTACTTGATCATTTTTTATAAAACTTATTTTTGTATTTATAATATTAGCACAAATCAAATTAATATATTTTTTTACATTCCAATAATATTTGTCTATGCATAAATATTAAATATGATGATATTTTTTTTAAATTGAATTCTCCTTTATTAAATATATTTTTTGTAATAAATCTTGATTTGTATTTTATTTTTCATTCTAGATCAATATTTATTGAAATAGGCTGAAACAAAAAAGTAGGTACCTACCGTTGTTAATTCTTATACATATTAATATGACATACTACCATATAATCCATTATTACCAAAGATTTTGTTATTAATGAGGTTAAAACGGTTAAGATTATATAATATTATCTTTTTCATTAATTTAAAGAATATTAAGTACAATTCAAGAAAATTAAAATGGTTGAACTAGTTGAACTTTAACTATTTAAAATAATGTAATATTTACTGTTATAGGTTGCATAATATGAACTTAAGTTGTCGATATACAAATAATAAAAAGTTATTCATATGATTCTTTATGAGTAATGATTAATAAGTAATAACCATTCATTTCTATAGTTTTATATTTAATTATATTATATTATATTTTATATATTTATATATATATAAAACATACATTTTTAATTTAACCGGCTTCATTGGAATTTTATATTTTACTTTTAGTTAATAAAGAAGAGGTAACCACGCATATTTCTTTTGAACAAAAATTATTTTCTGTATCCAATATTAAAATATTGGTTTTAAAATAATAGTAAACAAGGAAAAGGATATAATAGACCAAAAACAAAATGCTCAATAACATTGTTATGTATATTGTTGCACATATACATACACATATTTTATAAACTTAACAAAAGATAAATCACAGGCGAATTAAAAAACGGAAACTATAATTTTGTTCGTATATTAATATTATGTATATCTATACTAATAATTTACTCGTTTCGACCGAACTATAAAAAAATTTGTGCTCAATGCACATTACAATTTTTGCGTACCTATATCGGTTGGTACGTATACAATGTTTTCGTTTTTAAATCCAATTAAAATTACATGATTAGGTCAACTACGCAATTATATTTAACTACAATATTGCTTTCTTCCTAAAATACTTTCACAAAATATCATTATACATTTTAAATTTACTACCGTCGGTATATCAAATTGAGATCGCGTTAAAAATTAATTTTGCGTAGCGATAAAATTTATTTTTGTGCCAAGTGGGTATAAAGTATAATTATTAATAATATATATATAATTAAATTAAAATATAATTATAAAAGGCCAGTGCAAAATGCATGCTTAATTTCCTGTTAATGTTATAATGAATTCATCATTTGCTTCCCAGTCTTTAATTTTTATTATTAAAAAAAAAAAAAATCAAATTACAGGTAGGTAACGTTTGATTATTATATAAAGAGATTTAGGAAAGAAAATTGACCCGAAGAAATTGTTTTTTTTTGTTTCATTTTTTTTTTTGATTTTTTCCTTAACAAAAACAGTAACATTGTATATAGTTGTAATTTTTTTGATAGATTGTTATAGTTTGGCAACGTGTATTTTGAACGTCAAACGGGTTGAACTCGGGTTAACACAACGATGCGTATGCCGATGTATGGAACAAAATCGTTTCGACAAGAAAATATTGTACACCACGTACATAACATTTTACAATGACGACGACGACGACGATGATGATTTTGATGACGATGATGATGTGGTAATGATTACGTTGGTGATGATGGCGATGATTAAAATAACAGTTGACTGATAGGAAGCCTAAAAAGAAGCGTCCTTTACAATTATCTACGTACTACGGTAAATGATTATATTTCGTTTTCTTCACTTACTCCGAGACTAAATATAATTATTACAATCTAATGATGATGATAAAATGAGCATTTCTCATATATATATATATATATTATTGATTTAAATTTGAAAATATCTCTTAAAAAAAACGAGACTTGCGTTATAGTTAAAAACCTACATATAATATAATATATCATATAAATACATAATGTAATATATAGATGATATATATATACGTTGTTCTCGCGGTCGTATACATACATGATACATATTATTATTATATATTATGGTACGTAAAATGTATCGTTAAAATAATACGAAGGCGCGACCACCAAATAGGTACCCCAGCCGGGCGGTGTTCTTGCAAAAACGTCGACTGCGCGTCGACAAATTTATAAAAAAATTTACACATAGGTACGTATAGCGGCTAATAGTTAGGATGCGCTCATAATATACGCTCGCGGTTTCACTGCTGCAATGGAGGCACACTTGATTCCCGACGACAGTGCTGCTGTTTTGGTACATTTAATATATTATATATCGTATAATATAATAAAACATATATATAATAATATACTACGTATAAATAGCTAATGGCGAGCGAGTTGTATATATATATTTATTATATTATAATTATATTATTATTGTCTTCGTATTATATATTCTACGCGTGCGTCTGCGAATTTTGCTTGCGAGAGTGGCAAATATACGATTTCACACATAATATCATAACATACGTATATAATATATAGTAGGGCCTACGTAGTGCGGCGGCTACGAGTACCTCTTGTCGGTGTTGTCGTTCATGGGCGGTGGAGGCGGACATATGAATATCGGTCCGCCCGAGTCTTCGAGCAGGTCCTGCAGCAACGCCACTTCGACGGGCGCTCTGCCGCCGCCACTGCCGCCACCGGTAGTCCGGCCGTTGTTGTTGTTGTTGTGGTGGTGGTTGTTGTTCCGGCGGTGGTGGTTTTGCTGCTGGTGGTGGTGGTGGTTGTTGTTGTGCCGCGGCTGTTGCTGCTGCAGTGGCGACTGGGGTTGCTGCTGCTGCTGCTGCTGCTGCTGCTCCTGCAGTGGCGGTTGGAGCTGCTGCTGCTGCTGCTGCGGGGACATCGGACTCTTGCCCGGCGAACAGTCGGACAGGTTGTCGGGTATGAGCTTTTCCGTTTCCGGGTCCACGTGTGCCGTCCGCCGGATGCCTATCCTCGCGTGGTTTCCGGACGGCGAGTCTTGCGATGTCTGCGACGACCCTTGGTTCTGGTGCCGTTTCAGTATCGACTTGGACCTACGATGCGGTTCCGGCGAACGGTTTATCGATTCAGCCGACACCGACGGCGAGGACTTGCCGCTTTTCCCTGCAAAAATCAGTCAAACTGTAATGACACGTAATAATATAATATATTATAAATTGTTGGATAACGTCGACCCGAGTAATATTATTATCGCCATCATAACCTATATACACGCAATATGCGTACATATATATATAGTTAAGAATGACTGTATTATAAATAATGTAGTTCAGGCAAAACTAAAAGATTTCGATGGCTTACGCAAAGTTTAAATTGTTGTACACGTATTGTAGCTATATTTATATAACGTGTATACAGTGTTACTAGAGTACAGGATATACACAAGACGTATGATCGCAGTGGCGTATATTACATTATGTTTGAGTTAAGGCCGTAAGTATAGGGGAGGGATGATGTAATCTTATGGGTGAACTTAGCGGCGGGAGAAGGGATGGAAGATAAAATATTTCTCTTATATTTCTATTACTCTGTTTGGAGGAGGCAGCCTCTGCACAACTCTCGGAAAAAATTATTCGAAATACTCCACTGCGTGCATACGCCTATAATATTAATTAAACGTTTTAAAAATATCTAAAATCGAGAATCCTAGAAGATGCATTACAACTATTGATAAAATAAAAAAATAGATATTTCTAAGATACCACTCTTGTCCATAACGATCTCAATTATTTTAAGATCCTACTTATCTATATAATATAAATATATAATATACTAAAATTAATACCTACGTATACATCTATAATTAATATAAATATATAATATGACCGCTATGTACACCGACATAATGATATAATATATTATATTATAATTATATTTATATGGTATATATTTATACCTACCAAATGTATTCGTAACGATTTTAACGACAAAATATCAGTAAATCATTACAATTACATTTTTCTCACAGTTAATAGGTTAGTAGGTACAGTGATATAAAATTTGACTACAATCTATACAAATTTGCTTCACAATTCGTTAATATTATATCAAGCAAATATTATAAAAATATAATATTACTGTATATTATCATTGGGTATAGACGTAGCCACATAGGGTACAGTCTAAGTCTATTATTACGAACGTATATACGTAAAACGTTTAACAAGCAATGAAAACAGTAAGTGTTTTGATAATTTTGTATTTACTATTTAAACATTAACAATAAAATAATCAGAATTAAAATATAGTTTTTGTAAGAGGTCCACTATTTGTTTAGATTTTAATTTATTATATTGTATAATACCATATAACAATATTATACGCACTATAGTCTATACATACAGTATAATATTACTTTTGTTTATGTGTAGATAGATAGATAGCATAAAAATAGTATAATATAATAAGGTAGATATAGCTGATAGGTAGTACAAATAACTAATAAGTAAAATACATCTATTATTTCGATAGACTTCATCTATATAGTGATCACATTTACATATAAAGACTAAATTCCTCGAACTCACCCTAAATTCAGCATCCCCTTCGGTCGTTAACGTAATGTCCAAACATTATGAAGTTTCTACGCCAATATTTATGGCTGTTATCACATATGTTATTACATATGTTTAGAGCTGTAATTTAATCCTATTATAAGTTAAAATTCATTAAGGGTATTACGTCAGTCACAACTCACAGCGGCAGGTAGGTATCTACTACCCATGTTACTTAGTATAACCACTAATCACTAAAAACTTATCTAAAAAGTAAAAAGTAAAAACTTGAAGTACCTAGTGATGCTAAAATATAATATTAATATATATTATACATATGTGTAAAATGTAAATATAATATGAAAGTTAGGCGGGTTAGAACAAGAGAAAGTGCTACACGTCTACACTTAACTTATCACTGGAAGGAAAACTTAAATTTGCAGGGATTTGAAGTATAGATTTTTCTATATTTAGTATACTTAAAAGTCTATACTTAGATCGTTTTTAATTTAAAAATTTTTAAACCGTTACTTATTCGGTCACTTGGATAGTTAACCGATTAATTTTAATTTGATTCCCCGAGGAAGTGCCTACTTTATGATGGTGCAACGAATAACGATAGATATAATAGATATGCGACGCGTTTACTTTACAAAATTGTCTTAATTAAATGTATCTTATAATAGGAAAGTTTCAGCAGTGGTCCAGTATCATTTCATTATCATTATTTCGTTAATTGTTAATCTTAACGATTTTGTTAATTACCCCTTTATAGTGCATTCAAGTTATACATTAGCTCATGCCCAAGGCATAAGTAATTTTGATGGATAATCTTAAGGGCCGGTGGATTATTTTTGTTTAAATATATTTGGGAAGATAATATTTTAAATAGGTACCTATAAAATAAAATATACAGTAAAAAATAAAAGAGCTGATGACTGTATTTCTGGTTAAAAATGTTGTCACAATATCACTGAGAAGTAGTGATTTTTCGAATTTTCTACTGGTTTTTGGGGAAAACACGAAATTCAATGCAAAACAATCTGAGCAGAAATCTATTAGTAACCCACCAGTTTTTAAAATAATCTTGGTTATATTTTAATACCTATATCCTATAATGATGAGGTATATGGTATAAACACTGTGGACTGTAAACCACTGAAGTCGTAATTTTGCAATATTATCCTCCGAACGGTGTACATATTTTTTTAAAGTTGTGGACGGGTTTGTTGATAAAGGTGAAGAATAAAAGACGCATGGCACGCGTTGCCAAATTGGATTTTCGCAGAGGTCAGTGGGTTACCCGTGGTATATATTAAGACGTGTTTCAACGTTTGTAAATTTTAAATTTTAATACGTAAATTATTGAGTTTATAATTCACAAGAAAGGGAGGTAAAAGCATCGACGAAGATTACCTCAATGATTACGGGCGTCTATAGGTACCATTTTAGTTGTTGTTGGCTGCTGCTTAGTATATTTTGGTTTCCATGTTAAGTTGCTTAACTTCTAACGTACATGGTACATTTTACTGTATCAAAGTAGTCTAAGTAGACTGCAGATCATTATTTATATATTATATACTATACATTACAGACATAAGCTGTGTCGCATTGGCCGATATTATCTTCGCAGTAGGTACCTATATAATATACAGATAATAATTGGTTGCTGTATATAGTCTGTATCTAATGATTGATAGACTCTAAACATTTTTTTCATTAATTACTCCCACATTTTATTGAGTATTTGCACTTACAATATTTTATTATTCAAAAATTTAATTTCCATCATAATAATATAATTGTAGTAATTCAACTATTTTATTATTTATATTTCTAGATATAAATCCATTTTTAAAAACATAAAAATATCTGTGTTTAAATTGCTAGACGCAATTAAATAATTATTGTACTATAACTTAAATATATAGATAACAATATTTTTATTTGATTTTTTGTAAACGAAAAAAATTGTCTTCTAAAATAATGGTGTTAAAATGTTAATGTTATTGAATAATTGTATGAACTTATGAAGAGTTATTTTCTTGAAGTAAACATAATATTATGTATAAATGTACAATACGCACGTTATTTAATTTATATATAACCACAACAGAAACTTTCTTTCTATAATATGTACCTGTTTTATTAGATATTATTGGTAACCCGAACAAATGTTGATTGATTATTCTTGTAGCATTAGTCAATGTTTTTGACGACAACCCGAACGAAGGTCGTCGTTTTCGTGCGCCGCCATCCAAACTTTCCTGAGACGATCGGCCAAAAAAACTTTCTCCTATGTTTGATTGCTTTAACAATGGTAAAATAAAACCACACATATTATTATATTATCTTCAAACAAACTATTCCTTATTATTACGCTTAGGTTATAGGTATACACATTATCAAAATAAATATTGTTATTATTGGTCTTAATGTCAACGATGGGAAGAAAAAATTTAAATACAAAACTACAGATTTTATGCTAATTAATAATTAGACTATTGTTAATATTATTTCATCGTTTAAAATAGAATAAAATAAACGATTTAAATTTACCTATATGATTGTTTTATTATAATACACAATTTGGAAATGACGTTTAAACTTTAATTTGATATTTGTGTATACTGGGACGATAAATATGCATAAAATACCGGCGTTGCAGCTAAATAATCGAATCGGCATAGTATACTAGTATAGGTATAGTATATTGGGACTAGGTCATTTTTAAATGTCACAAAGCCTATATAGGCTAAACTCTCTACTATATAATATATTAAATGACACTACAATTTCCAAAACGAAAACAATTGATTTTAATATAGTATGCATAAATTATTTAATTTATATCGATAATAATAATTAATAATAAATGTAACTGCCGGCTCCAGAGGAGGGAATATAGTACTGGCGGTGATAAATTAACTCAATTACCACTAATATTGACATTTAATTAATGCCATTAGATTTTCTCGCGGTGGTAAAATAATGATATCGATTATTGAGAGCAATATAGGTTGTACTACATTACATTATTGTTCAGAGAAAAATGATTGCATTAAAATGTTTTCTCCGCGGTTTGTTCGAAACGGATAATACAGTGCATAACATATTACTATACAGTGGTTGGTAGGTACAACGGATTCGCAAATTTCGCTATTATTATTAATATTCACATTTGTATAATTGTGCATTGATCGAAAAGGTTTAGTTTAGGTATTAATGTGTTAAACGCGTACGCCATTGTCCGTAGACTTCGGGGGAGGTAGTGTGAGTATATAGGTACATAAAACAAGTATAAATATTACTATTTCGACGTGTGATTGTAGGCTGGGACACGTTACGCTTTCGAGACCCAGGTTTACTTGGATCTCTAACGGGGTCGAGTGGCGTCTAATCATCGTCGATAAGAATATTCGCAACTACACTGGTTCCGCACGACAGTAATTTGAATACATATACTATATTATCATTATTCAAGTAGGTAATAATGTAGTCTATAGTTTTGTACTACACACATTTGGTAATATAAAAAATAATAATGTAGGTGCGGTTGATCTATTAAATAACGTGGTATATGATATATATATACCTACTATAATAATATATATGATATACAGAGTGTAACAGATAGAACTGACTTTTGGAATAACTTTTGTTCTAATCAATATTTAAAGTTTTTTTTTAATAAAAATTTATAGTCACTTGCGCTATAAATATATTATAAAAAATTTATTTTTTATTTTTGAGCTCTGAAAATAAAATATTTAAAATTTGATGTAAATTTTTTTGGATTTACTCAAAATAACCAATTTGTGAATCTGATTTTAAGAACAATTTTGATAGTAAAAACATTTATCTATAAAATCAAGTAGCTTATTTTTTAAAATATCAATATTTTTTTGATTTGGAATGTAATTACTTTTTTCAAAATATATTTTTTGGGAATTTGCTGACATGAGTCTATTTCTTAAACTATTTAGTAATCTTATAATTTTAACAATTTTTGTCATACGTTTAAGTAGCATAATTTTTTTTCATCAGGTCTTTCTGTTACACCTATAGTATAGTACTCGTATAATTAATTACACTAGTTTATTCTCGAAATAATTGTGATCATCGACATTTTTAACCAACGAGTTTTTCTGGTAGTCGACACCCCCAGCCCTCTGCAGGTAGGATTTAGACAATACATCATTGCTTAGGTCTAACATTTTTATGCACCACCTACAATACTCACAATCTATGATTTACTTCTTAACTTTTTTTTTTTGAAAACTGACGTTTAATTTTTATAATTGTCCTCAACTCATCTCCCTCTCTCACTCCCTATACTGGCTATAAGGCTTACTTGCGAAAATCTCGTCTTCCGCTGTTTGGCCGTTTCGTTGAGGCTTCCGCGACTGCCGACCGCCGCAGTCCGGCCCGAGAACTCCTTGCACTCGTCCATCGGCGACGTGCCCAAACTCCGGGGTGGGCCCCCCTTGCCCCCTTTGCCACCGGCGCTCTCCAGGGGGTTGACATACAGGTTGGAGTCGTTGACGCCACCGCCCCCCTTACCGGCAGTGACGGGGCCACTGGCCGGGACGTGACCGGCTGGCTCGAAAACGGTGTCGTGCAGGTCGTCGGCCGCAGTCAGGTCACCCTGTGAATGGAACGGTTGCGACTTGCAGCTGATGTACGTGTCCGAACTGTCAACGCTGCCCACCTCGTTGCGCGAACGCCACTGACCGCCGCCGGACGACGATCCGTCGGCCTCCTTGAGCGTTCTCATCTCCACGCTGAGTGGCGTTCGCAGATCGCTGGTCGGGTACGGTGTCAGGTGTTCCGCGTCCAAGTACTCCTTGACCTCCTGCAGTACCGCACCACAAACACGGAAACACACACACACGGGCGCTCACGCGCGTCGTGTCGACGAAAACAAACAAAAAACAAATACATAATCAGAAAAACGTCGATGTCAGTTCGAGTGGATGGTCAATAGTTACTACATATTATATCATACAGACATACAGTTGGCTAGGTACGCACGTAGGCAGGTAATACGCACCGGAAGTATTTTATTAAAATATTATAGAATATTATATAGTGTAATCCATAGGTGGCATTAAATATTACACTATTATGACTATATACGACGTCACTCGTATGATGGGTTATAATATTATTACAGTGTATATAGTCGTGTTTGTATTATGTATATACATTTTCTATTACGACAGCTTACGTACTATTACAGTGTTTTAAACGGTACCGTTAAAAATCACTTCTAAAAAAATAATGATATCGATTGAAAAATAAATAAAACGTTGAAATTGTCTCTAGCAGCTAATGGCCTAAGGAAATACATATCAGCAAAAGTATTAAGTACTTGCTCGTTCGTTCATTCCCGATTTATCAGTGCGTAATAACTACATTTTTATTTATTCAGGCATTTTGATAAATATGATTTTGTATGAATTCATATTATTTGACTGAACGTTCACAACATACATATTATTATTATAATTGCAGGGGAAAATATTTGTTGAAACTTGTTACTATACATAAAAAAAAAATGATTTTTAAATGGATACAGCGTTTTTATAACTACCTACTCATCAAAAATAGTAAATGATAATAAAGTAAGAATCAAAAGTTGATAAAACAAAGATATCTAGAAAAATAATAAAACAAATAACAATAAATCATGCATGTCTATTACCTACTCTATTATATAACTAATAATGAAAATAGTTGTTCGTGCTTTAAAAATGTATAATTTATCATCTATAGACCTTTTTATTGATTAAGTTATTCTAAACGACCATTAACGTCACAAATGGTTACAGTTCACTTAGTTCCTTCTACGATAATTTTATCAAATAATAAGTGATTGGTGATTGCATTATAATATAATATGCTTTATACTTTTAGACCCAAAGTATAATTATTTTCGTATCGAACATTTTAGCATTTAAAGTTAACACAATTTATTGGTTAAACTTAAATTGGTAACGATAAGTACAATTTAATTAATTTTTCAAAAACAATTTGAAGGCGTAGCTCGTAGTACCTACATAATATGTACATTGTATACCTACAACATAATACATTTAAATGCAATATCAATTAAGTTTGGTTCGTAATTTGATCGGGTTTTAGCGTTTCGTTAACTGCAGATATATGTTATGTCATAATATACATATTTTATCAAATATACCAAATTATTCGAAACAAACATGTTTGAGATAATTTATGAGTCATGCGACTCTTGTGCAGTACCAATACAATATTTATAGACACGCCATCGTGTTATGACTCATGCATTAAATAAACGGCAAATTATTTCGAATAATATATTTAAGTAATAATATTACGTTAAATTGAATTACATATGGATTAATCATAACTCATAAGACGCGTCCTGTGCACTCGAATTTATTTTTAATTTAACAAACGATTAACGAAGAGCGCTCTGCCTTGGCGCCTAGGTGGCTGGTTCGCCAAAAAACTCGAAAAAACATGGAGTCATTGCACCCTAGTATGAGCTGCAACGGTGGCATCATGCGTGGCAGACTTATCGATTTAGTACCGTTAATTATTCACGAGCTATGACAAGATTTTTGGTGGTTAGTACTTATTGCTTAGAGTGGCGTGTGGTCCGTGGCTGTACCTACGAGTATTATGGAAATGTGTACAACATATATTGACTATTCAGTATTCCAGTATATTATAATGTTAATATTGTTTGCAATAATTAATATTCAATGGATGTATAGAAGACCCCAAATAATTTTGAAAGCTCTTGAAAGTATAATAAAAGTTTACTACTTGGAAAAAATCTTTATAAATATAAAATAAAAAACAACAGATAAGTACCTACGTAATACTCGACGTTTGCCGAAAATGTCCCGTAAAAAAGATAAAATTGCAAATACATAAACGGTAAGTACCTACATATTAAATTTTGCATATAAAACCCTTAGATATTAATATTATAGGTATTGAAATGGATGTATAACCAGGACCGAATTTAGGGGGGTACAACTGCCCCAGGCGTCAGTATTTTAGGGACGATAAAATGTTGTGGTCAGAAACTTGTTTACTTGTGAATTATTAAAATTTTATAATTTTAATTATTTTAATAACAGTATTGTACCTATAATACAATAGTATTATGCTAAATTTTTTTTAATTAAATTAATTTGCCTAGTTTTATATAATTTTTATTTATTTATTCATGAGGTACCTTATTAAAATGTTAAAAAACAACTTATATATGATGAATTATAAGCAAGGCTTAAGTGACATAAATTCAAATATATCTTTGTGGAGAGAGGATCAAGCAATTACTAAACAATATTTTTAAAAAAAGCACACATTGTAAAATAAATATTTTTTTCTATGCTCAAAATCTAAAAGGTTAATGAGGATCTATCTCCCATATTTTCTGTGGGTAGTAGGCCCCTTAGGAAGGAAACAATTTTTTTCACCAGGGCTTAGGGGGCGCCAATTTTTTTTTGCACCGGGGTGTAAAATGTCTAAATTCGGCACTGTGTATAACCTAAATCATATTCGTATAGGTAGTCGTATATGTTACTATTATTAATGAATTCGGACATGTCATCGCAAGGGTTGAAGGTCGGACTGTGTCACTTGACATGGTTTAAAAAAAAAATTGAAACAATATTACTAGAATAGTCCTAGAAGCTTTTTATTGTATACCTACTAACCCAACCATAGGTACAATATAATAAAACGTGATAATTAGAAGGGTTGGAAATTTGTAAAAAAAGATTTTTTTTCTTCATTATTGTAGTTTATATTTGTTGCTATCATATTATTCAAATTGAAAGTAATTTTATTGGATTATAATAACATTTATCTACAGCCAGTGCCTGCGGTGGTGATGAGTTGCGTGATGTGTGCTATCACCGGATTCGTTATTTCAACGTACGTACATAGATAGTCCCTACTTAATTTGTTGGGACTCTAGTAGGGTCTAATTTTTATAGAATAAATTAATAATAATATTTTTAAAATACGATTTTTCTACAGACATGGTCATATCGTTTAGGCGTGTATACGCCCGTGGTTTATACACGCCTGAACAGTAAACAATATATGTATAAGCAATCATGAAATAATAATATTATATCATCTATTTTATATTCTATGTTGTTGTGTCGTCATAAAATAGTGCTCAACGTTGAAGAGGCGGACGTCTTGATAACCGCAAACTCCATGTACAAAAATAATTTTATATTCTTATTCGCAAACGTGTTACATTTGTATTTCATTTTTCATTTGACTACATTTAGGTATTTCCCTTCTTGTATCGCACAAAAATTACGGTGTTTTTTTTGATTTTTTTTTTTGTTGTCCTCGAAAAAACTAAAATGGATCAAAACGACGAAAACAGAAATCTCGTGCAAAACGTAATTTTACCTAATAACACGTATACATCATTTTAGTATTATTATCCATCGCAGTTCATGGATACGATTATTATCGCATATCGCATGTATTATACGTTATATTTTGTTTGACGTTAATCTAGGTCGACAGGATGGGTAAGCGAAAAGTGTTGCAGACCTTACAACCGTGTTCTAAGGACAGAACAGTTCTGGTTGGTACCGGTATGCCTCAAACAAGGTAGGTACACTATATACACCTATTTGGTCGAATCGATAATAAAAAAATGCTATACAATATTATTTGAGGGTGTTTTTTTCGTGTTGATAGGTTTAACGGAAACGTGGGGAATAGATATCGGGTGTTCGGCAAGTTCAAAGTTTTCGTTGAAGACAAACTAGACGGAAATAGTGGATAATCCGTTGCATACGCCGTTATAACGAGTAGTACGAAATGTTTCAAACCAAAATTATTCATATCTCTCAAGACATGGACTTGGATTAATATTATATTGTTGTACAATATTATGATATTACAATAATTGATTTATAATAAAAATTTGATCGAACGGTACAATATTAAATTGAATGAAAAATATCTACGTACAACCGTGTTATTTACATATATTATTTAGAAAATGGTAATATTTTTAATTAGTTTGATCCACAAGACGATATGACGTGTAATTAAATTTTAATCCCTCTCGCACGCAAATGTGTCAGATTATATTTTTTTATCTTAATCCGTAATTTACATTGTATCCGCTACACGACGTAAATCATCGTCATCGCCGACTACAGCATCTCTATAATCTAGGATACCTATACACTACAGTCTACGGCTGTTAATAACTGTATAATAATAGATAATATAATATCATAATATCAATATTAAATATATTGTAGGTATTATTATTTATTATACTCATAGCTATTTTGGGTTATTCGATATTCGATTAAAACTAATAATGAAGTTGAAAACGATGAAATGTATTTAATAATATATTGTATTGTAATATACACTATATAATATTAAAATGTTAGACAAAATAATAATTAGTTTTTCGATAAATATTGATTAAACAATGACTAAAAAGTACAAAAGCATGATATTTTTTAAAGAATTTCTCAACATTATTTACTATAATATATTATATGCATACATATTGGAACTTAAAAAATATGGAACTTTATTTATTTATATAAGCTATAATGCATACATATTATATATATATATATATATATCTAGTGTCTAGTCGATACATAAGTATGTAATCAAATCTAAGGATAGTTTCTTTTTAATTCTACTTGCAACTATATAAGAAATATATAATGTATGAAGTCTACTTTTGGTTAGACTTTTGATATTAGAAATAAAATTAATCACTAAAATGAAGTTCCTGTACCTTTTGTCTACAAGAGCAACATTCGAACTCATTGAAATTTTCGTCTAATTTTTCGATAAAACAACTCACGGTCATATTCTCCTAAAAGAAAAACAAAATAAAACAAAACAAACATACATAAAAAAAAAAAAATGTCACGCAAAAACCAAACAAAAACCAAATAAATCTGCAGCAAGCGTAAAAAGGTTGTTTTCTTTGTTCATTCAGGATGGTATTGACATCATTTTGAAATATGCCTTCAAAAGGTTAAAAATTATAATCACATTGTTTTAATGAGCAAATCCAAGCCCAGGATCACATTCATAGATATAAGTACACATAACGATAATCATTCATTAGGGAAAACAGATTTAAATACTAAACATTGTCCAAACAAATCATAGGTCATATATTTAAATGGATTTCCAGCTGACTCTTTTTGTTTGCACCCCCTTTAGTCCTTTTCGTGTAATAATTTATCAAAGAACTCCATCCAATTTATTGCTAAATAATAATAGTAATAATAAAAATAAATGATACGGTCTCCGAGTTTAAATAATTTTTTTAAGTACGTAAGTAGATTTATTTGTTTGTAGTGTTTGTCATTTGAGCAATTATTCTCTTTGAGTGAAATAATTTCTATTCCTATTTTATGTATTTATGTATAAATATTTGAATATTAATGTATACGGTGAATTTTAACAACACACAATTAACATATATATTTTGATCACTTGAGTGTTATATAATTGTATTATTTTTAATGTTGTATGTATAACTTCAATTAGTATTTTAAAAATTTAAATTGTTACAAAATCTTTATACTATTTCTACCTCGTATATTATAATATCAGTGCATGCATTTTTTTCATTGATATTTATGTCCATGATCATGGATATTAATTGATCATGTATTAATATTATAGAAAATGAAATAATATTTTTAAAAGCAAAATTCCATGAAAGATCAGTTTAAATATAGAAATAAAAAAAATCTTTTTAGCTAAATTATTTCGTATTGTTATTCTTGCTTATAATTATAATGAAATATTTCAATTGTAGGATTTTTCAAGAACTTCATTCTGTTGATTAGCGTAAGTATTTTCTTGACAAGTAATATATATATATATATATACATTATATGAAATAACGTATTGAATTTATTTCCCAAAAATAAGCACTATATAAATTAATGAATTTAATTCATGGTTCGTGTTTATGTTCTTTTTTAGTAGGTATATTGAAAACATGCAAGTTGGCTTATCTGTTATTTTGTATCTCGAAACTTCACGTGATTAAGTGGAATAAAATTATTTTATTTTTAGTTCGTTTTTGATCATTTGTAAAATATATTATTTATTTTTAACCAATTACTAAACTTGTAAAAAAAAACGGAAGGTAATTTTATTTGGTAAACATTTTATATCGATTACCTCGGTTTTGAATTATTTTAAAAATCCAGAATTGTCACTGCGTAATGATTAAAAAATTGTCAACAAATATGCATCATACCATTGATTATTCCTAATCGTTCATAATGTAGTAATTATTATGTATTTTGTTTGTTAGTATATTAAGTTTTTTAGGTAATTAGGTTTATTGCTGAATACTACATTTATATGATATAGTTAATGTAGTTATATTAATTTAAATTAAATTAAATTTTAATAGTTTCGTAAAAAAATTAAGATCGAATATAATTTTTGAAAATTTAAATTTAATAATTTATCTGTCAAATCAGTTTTTTTTTGATTTTGTACATAGTTATAAATTTAAATGATTTTGTGAGAGTTTTCAACTTCGGAAAAAATGACGTTTAAACCAATGATTCGGGTCAAAGCTGTTTTGGTCTGGGTTAGTTGAAAATATTCACAAACTCGTTGATTATTTTCTTGTATTTTTATTATTTTATCTTAAATAAACGTAGTTCAGGAAACTAAAAATATAAATTGAACCAAAACAAATAAAAACCGTTTCAAAATGTGATGTAAATAATAAATTACGCATACGCCGAGAATCTACTTAAAAATAATATAAAGTCATACAAAATCATTTTATTTGGAAAGTTGGGTTTCATTTTTAAAATGTATTGAAATATATAGGCTTAGAAAGTTACTTAGTAGGTGACGTTTTAAAGAAAGTCAATATAATAAAATATAAAACTTAATGTGTGTAAGTTACTGAAATGTTGAGTCCTTATTGATCGAATGGCAATTATTAACTTATAAGTTATGAGAATATAAATAATCTAACGTGGTCCGTATACCTAAGGGAATTCAAGTGAAAAAAAAAAATAATCGAGTTTAAATTAAACAGACAGTCGACCATATAATCTCCCGAGTTAAGTGTCCGTCATTTTCTTTTATCCTTAAATTTTAATCGTCTTACTTAAAAATTATCAAGTGCGTTCAAGTGGATACCACGATAGGTACTCGTAAAGTTTGAACAGTGATGCTATTGAAATTCTTAAATCCAACCACACCGAATGTTGCGATTTAGGTAATTGTGGTTTCAAAAATCAGTAATTTTATTGAATGTGGGTTGTTAGGTACTTAGATATTTGGCTGCATCCGAGTTGGTTGCCGAATTAAAAATTGCTATCCTAGTCGGGTCCGGGATTATTTAAGGTACTACACTATAGTTGGGTGCCTCATAGTTTCTAGTGAGTACTATACTGTACTAACAAAATTTTTCCTATTTAACAGACTTAGGACTGTCTTTGACATGTTTAGAATGTAGACCAAAGGTATGGTTAAAAATAATTTTAAACCGTTTATTTATTTTCTTTGGTTTCTTTGCCATTAAAAATATAAACCATAAGAATTTTACAACTTATAATTAGATAAAAATGTAGGTACAATATCAAGAAAAAATATTAAACATTTAAAAAATCCAAATATATATAAAAATATACATATTAAGTAGGTTACCTATTATATTATTCAAATAAAAACAAAATATGTTGTTTAAAAAATACTTTCGTGTTGGTAAAAATGTATATGACATTAATGTTTGGCATTGTACCCTTATTTGTATTATATATATCATAATTTGTAAAATTCAAATAATTTAGATTTTTAATAGCAAAGAAACTGTAAAAAAATATTTTTGAACATACCTTTGGTTTGAGTATAGATTTCTGAGTCTGTTAAAATGTCAGTATAGTACGTAGTAAGTACTCACCAAAAAATATTTGGGACCCAACTATAGTGTAGTACCTGAAAAAGTCCAGGACCTAACTAGAGTAGTAACTAAAATAATCCCGGACCCAACTAGTGTAGTACCTACCTGAGATTAGCACCTATAGTACTTGGGACCCAACTTGGATGCGCCGAGATATTTGTATCGTAAAATCATAGGAAATATCGGAACGATATGCGAATAGTGCGAGCAGTGTGGCGATAGAAAACTGAAAAGTAAATGTGGCTGTGTGCCTACTCACCAAACAAATTAGTGGTCGGGATTTTATTTATTAAACGTGCTCACACTCTAATATTGTCCCAAACGGTGCGTCAACACTCAACTCGGACGCGTAGTAACGAATTTCGCCGAATCGTTGAAAAGTTTTCAACTGTACATAATTTTGTTTTAAATTTTAATTGACTGTTTCGTGGAAAGGGAGTTTGTTTTACTGCGATATCGTATATTATAATATAGTTCAGTACGAAATTTGAGAAATCGAAAAACTCTTTAATATACTGAATTTCAAAACTGCATTTAATTCGATATTTTAGCTTATCTATTAATTACCCCGTATGAATAAAAATAAATAGGTAGAGATAGTAACAGTTTTCCAATAATACGCTCTATTATAATATGTCGTTATATTATATATTATAATATAATATTGATGTAGCGCGAAAAATCAAAAATTTAATTTCGACCCTGGCTGCAGGGTATACACCGCCGCAGGAACGCACCCGCAGTGGCGTACGATCGGCCAGTGGCGTACTCACCGAGCTCTCGAACGGTTTTCCAAACGAATTGGCGTTTTGTTCCGGATTGTCGATGTCCAACAGCGTCTGATGTTCCGGTTTGGCGGTCGCGGCACCCCGCGCCGGCGCCGGCTTCAACGGGACCGTCTCGCTGCCGCTGCTCGTCCCGTCGTACTGCGAATAATTGCTGCCAACTGTTCGGAAACACATGTCACACACACACAACACACACATGTATAGTTTTTCGTCAAAACGACGGATTTCACGAGAGCACATTAGCACAATAGGTATACTATAAAGGGCTCATAGACATATAATAGATATACATCTTATATTATAATATTATGTATATGGTCGAACGTTATAGCGAAAACTATGATATTATAAAAGTTCGACAAGCGGTTTTTTTTTACCCAGACTGTGGGTTTCCGACCATAAACAGCTGGTGAAAATATTTTTAACACACGAGTGTATCTTGCGCCCCCACCTCACCCTGCAGGATTCTTGTTTATTTTACGGAATTTCGATTTGAGTTCGAGAGAAAGTTCTGACTAGGTGCTTTTGTTTAAAACGTAAGTGTTCTACGGTATTTACTCCGCCGAGCGCGTCGAGACTGACTTGGTAAAAATTGAGAAATGTGAACGTTGAACACGAACGTTAACGATTTGCATATCGTGACGGTTTTCGTGCAGAGGTTGAAATCGTATCAAGAGCAGGTACAAACGAAAACCAGATATGGTTTCGATAAGTACGTAGTTAAACGCGATTATTGATCAACATTTTGTTGTACTACAGGTAAATTCTTTGTACAATTTCTTTGAAAACGTCAAATAAGGTATGATGTGAAATGTAATTGACATTTGACGTATTGCGTCTCTTCAAGGCTTAAATACTATACCGAACATGTATGCATATTGCAAGATTAAAAATAATATGTATATTATTGAAACTTTGTTATCTATAATATATAGGTACATATATTTTATTTGCTGGTAATTTTAGAACTGGAATTATATTTTGACAGTTTGTTTTGCTCGACGGACAGACAGACGTATATGCAACGTAAACGAATATAGGTATTTAGATAATGAAATCGTCACATCGGTCGAGGAGTCAAATATAGAATACTTATCGTAAGTAAAAAAGCGAAACAAACTTACCGTGTGATCTTAGCGAATTCTGCTTGGACAGCTTCGGAATGTCGCTCTCTGAAAATCAACTAGAGTTATTTACATGTGTATCATATACATATTATATTTATGTTTTTTTTTCTCGTACCAGTAATATAATATCATAATAATTATAATAAATCATAATTATAAGTTGCAGCGCGTTTCCATAATATTATATTACATGATATATAGAAACGGCTGCGGCGATGGTGAATATATATGTAATATTATTATAATAGATAACACAACATCGAATGGTGCGTATTTAGTAGCTGGTACATTAAAAGTACTCAAGAAGGACGCAAGAAGGCCGTGCATGTATAGTGTATACAATATATTATGAATGATATTAATACACGATGTATAGATTTAGTGTACCAGCTGTAGTATAACACGAAGATCACGGGACGGGGATCGTGTGATAGGGCAAGGATAGAGAGACTTGTGACACATCACATATACAGGATTATTAAAGTTTCAGGACCTTATTGAATCCCCAGAGGTTTTGTAACGCAAAATTTGGATGATCTTGTGCATAATCCATTCACACATCCACATTTATACATTGGAGTGATTTTTCTTCGTATCGAGAGCCAGTTTTTATGCATTTTTACATAGAATGAACATTTTAACATAGTGAAATAATATGACAAGTCTCAAAGAATACCGGGTACTATTATTATTAATTCTTTTTTTCAGTTGTCGTTGTTAATTAGAATTTTACCTTTTTCGCAATCAAACTATAAATAACTCTGTAAATCGGAAATTCAGCAAAATATATAATACCTACTCTGTTGGAGTTAAACATCATCTGACATTGCGGCTGACAGTTGATTATTATTTATACGAACTGTTCGGAGTGATGGAGCAAAAAAAAAATGTTAGAGGAGTACAACCACACCACTCCCTCAACTTAAAATTGTATAATGTGTTATAAGCATGCAGGATGATTCAGAGATGTATGAACAAACAATGGCTGCTGTTGCACGAAAGTGGACGAAGAAAAATCATTCCACCACACAATCAACATACAAGGAGTGACGATAAGGAGTGGCGGCGGCAAGTAGCAGCGGCGTCGACTTACCGTTGTCGACGATCACGTCAATCAGGTCCATGCTCTTGGCGAACGCGTCCCGGAGGTTGACATGGTGGAATGACACGATGCTTCCCTCGCGCTTGGCGCGCTCCAACGCCTCTCGTCTCTTGAGCGCCTTCTCTCGTCGCATCTGGTTTTTATAGAACTCGGCAAAATTGTTGACGATAATCGGAATGGGCAGCGCAATGACCAGCACGCCGCAGATACAACAGACGCCGCCGATGACCTTTCCCAGGGCCGTGGTCGGGTATATGTCGCCGTAGCCAACGGTGGTCATGGTGATGCCGGCCCACCAGAACGTCTCGGGTATGGACAGAAACTTGGTGCCCGGCTCCTCCTTCTCGGCGAAGTACGCCAAACTGGAGAATATCAGCACGCCCATGGCCAGAAACAGCATGAGCAGGCCCAGCTCTTTGTACGAGTTGCGCAACGTGAACCCGAGGCTCTGCAGGCCGGTGGAGTGTCGGGCCAGTTTGAGTATGCGGAGTATGCGCATGATTCGGAATATCTGTATGACGCGGCGCACGTCGTCGAACTGGTGCGTGTCCGTCTTGTCCGTTTCGGCCACCAGTATCAGAGACACGAAGTACGGCAGTATGGCCAGCAGGTCGATCACATTCAGGCCACCCTTGAAGAACTTCCACTTGTTGGGTGACGCGCTGAACCGGAGCAGGTACTCGAGGGTGAACCACGTGATGCACACCAGCTCCACCATGGCGAACACCGGGTTGTCCTGGATCACCCCCTTCGTCTCTACTTGCAGCGACGGTATCGTGTTGAGCGTCAGCGCCACCGTCGACATAATGATGAACAGTATCGATATCACAGCTATCACCTGCGAGTTCACACACAAACAACCGCGTGCGGCTCCGGTCAGACGTCCGTCCACGAAAACACGTACTACATTTTTGTTTCGTCCTAACGGTATATTGGTTATGATAATATAAATGTTTGGTCCACCGCAAACGCTGCTATCACCCAACAGAGCGATGCGCGTCGTCGGGTTAGGTCGTCAAGTCGTGTATCCTACCCATATCTACATTTTTTTTTATATTATACGTATACTGCATGGTGCGCGGTGAATAGTTGGAAACTCAAGACAAGAACCGTTCGTACTGTGCGTTTTATTTTATAAATACCATGATTTTTGACATTTTTTTAGTACACCTGCTGTGATTAGGTACTGTCAATATACCATATTTTCAAACACTGTGCTGACACGTACATTTCAAATGAGTATTTTCATTATTTTTATGCGCACTGTAAATCATCTGCTGTAAACGGTTCGCATATACAAATTGGAGACATCGTTTACTCGTTTGATGAAAAAAGTTTGTCATCACCACTGTCCGTGTAAAATTCGTAAAAAATGCGAGTCTTTGAAAACAGATTATACATGGACTTTAAAAATCTTCGAAAATCCCAAAATTAGAAATTGAATAAACGCACAACTTAAGCGTAAAATCGGGTTTACGCTTTTACGGCAAGTTTACAATGTATAGAGCACGTATATAGGAGGTCTAACTACATACAGTAAATAGTAATAAGCTTAGTTCCGTGGAGAGAGTATAGATAATATTACGTTCGGATCGATCAGACATTTTTTATACGCCTCGCTGGTCATGTCTAGTGCAGACGAATTTTTTTCTCCGGACTCCCTCTGCCCTAACCGTCCCCTTCTCGAATAAATTATGAAATCCCGGTTACACCCCACCACTATACTACCACGCAATAGAAAGAAATGACGCTCTAAACTTGCTCCAACGCATGTACGTCTTATAGGTATATAATACATGCGTTACATTGGGGTGTGTGTGTGCGTGTGTGTATCGCGTTAGTAATATATATTATGGTTTATCGCATCCTTCCGTCCACCTTTCCTGAGGTTCGCGTGCCACTGCGGCGTTTTCGAGCTCCGGCAGGGGATCGATAACGACGATAACGATAGTAATAGTAATAGTAGTAATAGTAATAATAATAACAATAATAATAAGCAGCCCTCCGTTCTTTGGAAATAGGTAGGTTGGCGTATATATATTTGTGTGCGTGCGCGTGTGCCACGTGGCCAACAGTTCACACTGGTCAGTGGTCGACGAACGGTTCGGTAGGTCCGATTTTAATTAAACTCATTTACCTATACACACACATAGTATACTACATATATATTATTATGTATAGTTTTCAGGTGGATTGCCTACGGTGTGCTTGTTATAATATATAGCCGATGTATCATTGTAGTGTACGATACAACCCTGCGGGTGCGACGACTCTCGCGTCTGTCGTGTTTCGATTTGACGATTCGTGTTTCGCTGTAATAATGTAAATATATAATACGGCAACGGCGCTACCTATACATATAATAATGTTTTAATGTATATAAATATATAATACGCTGTACATATTGTACAAAAACACAATATTATAATAATAATATATAAACGTATTATTTTTGTTTTTACATTTTTTTCGTCGTTTTAATTGTCCAACAATAGTGTATTTTATAAAGCACGCACCACACGGATTCGTAAACTATTCGTCACACGAAAATTCTCCGAAAGTGGAGTGGAAATTTGATTTTTATTTTACACGTCCGTATCGGATTGAAAACTCACTCATAGATATTATTATTATGTCAGAGAAATAATCAAGCAGTTAATCAAGTTATGGTTTTTTATTCTTCATTAAAAACTTGAAGTTCTGAAAAAAATTATATACTTTTGATAAATTATTTTATTTATGACGAATAATATTGTGAAGAGAAACTTTATTAACTTAAGATAATAAGAAATTGGACAATTTATTACGCTTGAAAGATATTAAGAAACACATTTTAAGAGGTTTTCAAGTCGGAATAATATATTATATAAATTATAATAGTTAATTTTAATTATACGTCTTATGAATTAGCTAGGTAAACCTACTCGAAATTTGTATTTTAATTGAAATCGACGTACTATCGGTAGGTACTAAGTAGTAAAATAATTATAATGTTTCCATCTTATCGGTCAATAATTTTTTTGGTTTGAATCTCCTATTTAGCATAGGTACTAACTTAGAATTATTTACATAATAGCTTTAAATTAATTGTTCACATAACATTAAAGCGCAGTGCAATAAATACATAATGTATTACGTGCTTCTGAAGAAGTATAAGCGATTTCGAGGAAAGCAGCAGCGTTTAAAATAAATTAACGTAGACTAGTATTAAATTGTTTATTTTAGTTATAACTGAAAACGAAGTTTCTTGTTAGCTTTATAACCATAAAAGAAAAGTGAAACATTTATGGAGTATTTAAAATTTCAATTACCTTTTTTTAAATAATATGGTTTCGAGTGTATAGTTTGTGATCTAATTTTATTTTACGAGTAATATAAAGTAGATTAGTTATCATACTTCCCAATTTTAAGTCTCACGTTTAATATCAGGCTAAATGGCCATAATAAAAATAATTATAAAATTTATCGAGAAGAAAAATATCTTGTTAGCACATGGTATATATAGTGTATAGTGCATACTGTATAGTAGTAGTAAAGTCATGTGATTTTTAATTGCGAATTACTATTAAAATGAAATTTAATTTGAAAAATTCTTCCAAGTAAGTATTATATGTCAGTAACGCAGACAATAGTATTATATTAATTCAAACAAATTATTATTATTATAATATAATACCCGAGACTTTGAATTGTATGTGTACAAAAACCAATTTTACTTTATAGGTACGTGTAATAATATTACCTAGGTGGTTCGTTTTAATTGTAGGTGGTCCTATTTAATTGTAATATCGTTAACCACGGTATTAAGTTTAAAATACTAAAAAGACGCACCAGTTTAATTATAAAATTCTAATAACTCGTTTTCAAATATAAATATCAACAAAAGGTCCCTTCCGTTATATCCTTACCTTTGAATTTAACGCAAACAGGTCAATTCCTTATAATATTAAAATTAACGACACAAAATGGATTGTGTCGAGCACAAGTTAGGTATATGCGTTATGCGTTTTTAAGACGCAAACAACAAATGCCAGAGTAAATTCCTCGTAAGTAAAACCGTTTGAAAAGCTATCTGGTATTATATCTATATATTATTATTGATATTGGCCAACGATATTACAATACAGAGCAAACACCACTGGAACGTAGTCGTCGGTAACCGCGGATAAATAATAAAATGTCACGTATGTATATAATAATATATATATAATTTGTGTATAAACACACACACACACACATACACACACATTCTTAAATTATCTTTTATAGAAAAACCAAGCAAAGTCCACATAGAAAGCCGCATATATAGGTAGTGTTGCCAATAAAACCAAAATCAAACCATTCGCACACAATATACGTATAATATAATAATAATAATATGTATTGTATAGGTAGGCATGTGATTGTAAATACAATGTAGTCGCAGTGAGGTCTGTAAACAATTTTTAATTCGTTCAAATGTCGTGAGGTAGTTCGGTCCAAGTTCCGGGGCCGGGAAGTCGATCGCGCTCACCGGACGGCTGTCCCGGCGCCGGCGCGTGGCCCGAAACGTCTGTTGTCAAAAATATGTTTCAATATAATATAGTCGTGTTCGGGTCAATCGGAGCCGACTGTCGATTTCTGTGACGAACAGGTTCATTGCGCAAAACACATTCCACACACGCGTTAATATTTTGTAATAGCCGTGTTTTTTTTTATTTTTTTTTAATATTTTGCCGAGTTCTATATGCGTATTACAATAATTATTTTGTCGGTTGCAGGCGCCTTAGGAGAAAACTGCAGCGTATATGATGCGTTGATAGTACACACGCGGCCAGTGTATATAAAAAACCAAAAAGTTTTTGTTTCATACATTAAAGAAGCCTCGTGCAACAACAATTCCCTGTTAACACACTCGAAGAGGAAGGAAAACAATAGTAAAAAAAAAAAACCATTATCAAACAAAATATAATATATGATAGAAAAAAAAGAAAAATTTGAAAATCGTCTCTCCGCGCCCAATTTCCACAGTGAAGAATCCACAATAATTCCAGTCACCGTAACTAATAATGGGGTCTAGGTTAAAAGTTTATTTTAATGGCTGCGTACGAGTTGATTCCCGGGTACCTGTTTACCTGCACCGACACCGTTGAGTTGATTCTCGGGCCATTAGAGGGTACGTACGAGTTGATTCCCTATTGTTGTATATCAATTATCAATAGATTGCACGAGTAAAGAGTTTAGCTTTTAGCTTTCATTCTAAACTCAACAGTTGTTTATAGTGGGCACCCAAATATTTTTGTATTTATAAATGAGCTGTTAGAAGTACAATCAGAAACGTATATTAAATGCAGGAGTAATGGAACTAAGAAATCTAAGAAACAACAATAAAAACAAATTTTTTTAAGAGAAGAGATGTCACGGTATACTGGTAATCGCATTACCAGATACCAATTTATAAAAACAATGTGTTACAAATTTTTACCAAATTATTAAATTTTTATATTTTTACCTAGTTACTATACTAAATGTTTTTAATAATAATTTTTTACCTAATTACTACTAAATGTTTTTAATAATAATAAATATAATATAATTCAATAAATAATTAATAAATAAAAATTGAATGATTTTCAAAATATGAAAAAACTAAAAAAACAACATTTTTGAGAAACTTGTCAGCCAACCTCCTCGTGGTGTTTCTTGGGTTATGCTAATAGGCTGAATATTTTACTAAATATTGAATAAAATATAATATAATGACCTGGGAATCAACTCGTACGTACCTCTTAATGACCCGGGAATCAACTAATACATGAGAAAGGTCTCGGGAATCAACTCACCTATTGCGATTTTAATAGACCCTCCGCTCTTCCCGAGAGTCTTTACTGTCTCACAACGACTTGGGAGATCTCCGAAAACGAAACCTGCGATCGTGTGACTCATAAATCCTATACCAAAGCCCACGAGTCGCTTCCGTTATAACTGCGGAGAGACGATTTCCCCGGCACTCGTATATGATGAATATTACCTATATATATATATTGTACGTTCTCGGATAGGTATAGTATACTCGTCCACTGTATATGTGTCATCTACATCATGTCGAGTGCCTATATAGTCATATACTACCGTCGTCCACACGCTTTTGTCTTTATCACATTTGCACTTTTTTAAATAAGTTGAACATTTTTATACTAAAAAAAGACACATCCGTGCATGGAGGAATACAAAAAGAAAAGTTCTGTTGGTGTAACTTTTGTAAAATTCCACATTTACGTTTTTCGCGACGCCAATCTTCAGACTTAAAATCCGCAAATGTGGTGAAACTCGTCAGTTTGTGCAAAATAATAAGAATTGATATAGGTGGTTTGGTTTACCGGACGTTTGGAGTCGAAGAAGGAATACGCATAACCTGCAGTGGACTCGTACGGCAAATTTATATCGACTACATTATTTATACAGCCTCGCTGTACATGTTTTATGCGAAACGAGGGTAATTTTTTAACCGTGTTTAGATTGTTAAAATGATTTCATGTGGCTAATATGATTGGTAGACACCAACAGTAACATATAATAACACATTGGACGAGTATCGTATACTGATAACCCATCGTACGTACGTATATAATAAGCGTAACATAAATCTCAATATAGCTGCGACGCGTCGCCATGTCCTGCGAAAAGATTTCGCGGCCAAAGAGTAAAAAAAAAATAAATGCGTGATGATGACGACGGCGACTGTCACCTGCGCACTCGTGTGTGCCCCGGCATGCGGCCCCGCTGCGGCGGCGGGGACTTACCCGTCGTGCGTGCAGTCGGCGTGTGGTGACGACGACCACGACTTACCCTTGCCGCGATGCTGGTGGTGGGTTTCTCGAGCAGGTCCCACAGCATCTTCTGGTAGTGCGCGCACTTGCCCTCGCCGAACTCCTCCTCGTCGCGCTGCCTCAGGGACTCGGCCTCCTTGCGCATCTCCTCGTGCACGTGCTCCTTGCGCTGGTGATACTTGTGCTGGCAACACGACTCCAAGTACAGCTCGTCGACGCCCCAGTACTCCAGGTCGTCGCTGAACGCCAGCACGCACATCTCGTCGACCAGGTGCAGCTTGCCCGTCCTGTAGAAGTTCAACACCTGGGTGGCACACCGGACATAACATATTTTAACAATCAGTAGGTGTACCCAACCACGTTGTATATACCACTGTGCACTGCAATGCCACAGTAACACGATATAAATTATTAATAAGCCTGTCCAGGATTTATCAGTTATTCCGATTCTGCGGGAAGGAATGACCACCGCTTCGATGTTGTTGATTTAGTCGGTATGATAATATTATATTATACGCATGTTCAGCGTTGAATAGGTATAACAAGTACCTATAGTTTTATGGTGACCGACAAATTTATTTTGTTGGCTTAGTATTGTATGATATTATTAAACGTGGGACGGGATGATTACGAGAATGTCGGAATTGAAAGGTTTTTCGAGGATAGCTGCGCTATATCCACAGCGAAAAAATGCAAATAATGCTCTATACATATTCTCGTTTCGATTTTCTAATTTGTATAAAACACAATATTTAAGATTAAGTATCAATAGTGAAATAAATTATCACTATTAACATCTTTTTATTAATTATCCATATAATATGGAAATATGTTCTATATTTGTGCTGATAGTGCGAATTCCTCACTATCACCGCTACGGTCCCACACAAAAAATTTAAAAAGAATTGTATTTATTAAAAATCCAGTTTATGCCAAATTAAAGTCTACCTGTTCTTTATCTGATGATCATAAGTAAATAAGTTTTCGGTTTTAAGCGTTTGTTACAGGTTCCTGTCATTGAAATAATGGTAACGTTAGTTAATTTCCCATGAATTTCCCTGGAGTCTTCCCTTCCATCAAATACTTGTTCTTTATGGAATTTTTTCGTAAAATATGTAGTTCTACTCATATTTCTCATAGAGCCGTGTTTAGTAGTTTTATTAGTACAAATCCTTCTGATTCTGACTTGTTTCCAAATACTATTTACCTTCCATAACCCCCCTCCTCTTACACCTTTTCGTCATATTATCTCCAAATATCCTTTAGTATGTTGTGTTAAATCTCAATTGATGACGTTAGCATGTTATTTCTACTCTAAGAAATAAGAATGTCTAAGAGGAGTTGGTCCAGATTTTAAGCTGAAGGAGACTCCCTGTTTACTCGAGAATGTTATCGCTTGGCTTCTTTGTATATTATTTAATAAATCACTTATATCTGATAGTTTTATCTTTGCATTCTGAATAGGTTTTTTAATGTGCCTATCTTAAAGTCCAGAGACTCGAGCTTCCATCTAGGTCACCCTATTTCTACATGCTACATATAGGATACTTTCTGTGACCTAACTTAATTCTTTATCGAACATTTTTTATTTTAAAGCTATTTTATTGTGGCATCAACTAATATTCACAGTCAAACTCAAACTGTAGTACAAAATATTTTCATTAAACTAAAAAACGTAAAAAAAAATATGATAGCAATTAACACTTTTAAAAGGAAATCACTTGTAACTCCAAATAGCGCCATATTTACTACAATATTTACAATTTGTATTATGATTCTATAGAAATTACCTAGAATAATAAACTTTTTTCGTCTCTTCTGCTAAACGTCTTTAGTGATTGTAATTATAATTGTCAACGGACAATAATTAAATACTGAACAACGTACTCAGAGGCATATACTTACAAAGAGGCAACGTTTACGAAAACAAAATGTTTAAGGTACCTATTCTAGGTATTGTTCTGTAGAATAATAAATTAAAAATAAAAACTATTAGTAGTAAGTATTTCCTACGGCGTTATTTGGAGTTATAACATCAAATCTTTTAAAAATGCTAATTTTTGTCAACTTTTTTTACTTTTTTAAATTTAATAAAAATAATTTGTATATTTCTGATTTAATTGTGTTTATAGAACTAACTTTTAAATAAAAAAATACGATAAAAAATTGAAAAGCTTTGAAGATACTTCAGCAATGAATGAGCGGTAAGTTCAGTTTTGTTAAAAAAAAGTTGAATTGCCCATAACTAAAATAATGAAAAAGTTAGACCCTCCTTATAGAGTTTTTTTTCATAACTTAAGATATACTATAGTATAGTATAATATTATAGCATTAGTACCAATACGAAATAACGTTTAATAAGTTATACGCCACTGTGATATGGTAGTTCTAATGAATTCAATTTTTTCCAGAACTAACTAGTACATTCTTTTTAACAAAAAAGGCTCTTTTGACAGTCAAGAAATGTATCATATGCTGACATAAACTGAATAATGAAAAAATATATAAATAATAAATATAGCCCTCACAGCATAAACTGATGTTGGTGTGATACTTTATCCGATTATTATAGGACAACGGGGAGTGGCGTTAATACAGCTATAATACAAAATATATGTTTTCATCGTGTGGTTAGTATCAATACACGAATAAATCGCAGACTAGTTAGGAATCGGAGAAAATCTATTACGGAAGTATACTGCAGTGGAGTTTTGAAAAACAAAAATAATATAATGGTTCGTCGGGGAACGATAGGTGGCACTACGTGGTCTTGGGGATAGTTATTGTATTGTTCGTGCGTTTATATCTCGAGATGTAGTGGTGGAAGACACGCTGTGAATTATATAATAAAAGTTCGGGATTTTGGACGGAAAAAAGGGACGGTAGGTCGGTGGGTGTGTATTTGACTTCTGAAATATTATAACGCGTGCGTCGATTAGACCAAAGTATTGTGTGTATAATAAATACGTTCGAGTGTGATCGCCACATTCTTGGAGACAGTTCGATGTGCAACGATAAAACACGGTGCGGTGTAACGATTCGAGTCAAACGTCGACCAACGGGAAGGAGTAAAGTATAATATTTATTTTATTGATCTTTTTCGTTTGGACCTCGTAAAAGTCGCACTGCGAATATTCGTCCGAGTATAGATGATTGGACGACGAGCAATCGCGATTGGCCGAGGGATTCATATAAATTAATTCATTCATCCACGCCACAATATAACATAAAGGCTCCATACGTGTTGGACATTTTGGGAAACAAATCCTAGTTTTAAAACTGTACTTCAAAATTCGGTCACGCGTGTTAAAAAAAAAAAGAACACGCACTGAAATATTTGATTATAACATACTTTTGAACGAGTTTACGAAATGAGAGTGTACAACTCTTAGCGTGTGTGTGTCTGTCCCGCTGAATCGTTGACACAATGTTGTTTGTCAATTCGTCTCATAGCTATGTTGTATGTGGGCGGGAAGGTCTATAGTCTCCGAGAACAAATCGGTTTCGGTCTCACGTAACCTACACGCCAAGCTGTTATGTGCTTACGGTCTTTCGGGAATTGTTTTTTATAATTTTTTTTTCATTCTATATATTTCAATACGACTGACTCCAGACAAAAACTATTAAAACTAATGTAATAAGAATCGTTCAGAAAGTATATTATAAGGTTACACGATTGTCTAAAAATCGGAAAGTGCATATTATATTTACGCGAAATACACAGAGATTGTTACAGAGTTATGCTTTAATATTTATACATAATCGCCGTTGAGACCAATGAACTTTTGTAGTCTGTAGTCAGGGCATCAGCTTTCATATATCAGCGCCAAACAACTTATAATTTTCACATCTTTGAATAATTTTCCTCTCTCCACTATTCACAGCCAGAAAAAAATTACTCTTCAAGCTTGGTGAAAAAACGAAAATCATTAGGTGCAAAGATACGATCTTAACCGTCTTGTTAGCCTCATATGGTGAGTTTTTAAAAAGTTTTATCGCAGTTATTGATGGTTTCACAATAAGCCACCGATCTGATTCGTATTTACGATCATGACAATCGGGTCTAATTCAGACGATCCCCCCCCCAACGCTCATAAGATTTAACAAACCTAAAATATGTAATATTGTGTACCCATACTTATGTGTTATTGGTACTTATTACATTGAACAGATTGATCTAATTGTTGTATTTTAAATGCGCATTAGATCGTATAGGTATACGTTTTTAAGGAATTTTTTTATTTTTTTTAATAATACATTTTCTTAGGGCACTGATAGTTGCAGTCGGACTATAAAATCGCAAGCAGCGACTCATTCTCCGTAATATGCGTATAGTAAATGGCCAAGTACAACACAACGTTGTTCACAGTCAGTAGGTATACCATTATGATGATTATATTAATTTTATGGGGCCTCGACGTAAGCGTAAAACATGATAATATCATTATAGTTACCGAGCTGAATGATTTCGGGTGCCTGTCGAAGAAGTACTCGTTGTCGGCCAACGAGTAGTCGTCGCACAGCTCGGCGATGGCCTCGTGCGTGTTGCAGTCCCTCAACCGGCCCAACCTGGTGTGCGGCAGCCGCTCCAGGGTCCGCCACAGTATCTCGTGCTTGACGCCGCCCACGTTTATGCACACTCGCCGGTTGAGGGCCTTCGACCGCATTATCATGAACGGCTCGGGCGGCAGCGACGACAGCGACCGGCTGTGCAACCGCCGGTACAGCTCCTGCGCCTGCGCCGGCGCGGACGGTGGTGGCTGCTTTGTGACCGGGAACCTGATCTCCTTCTGACTGTCCGGCTGTGCGGCGGCCGCGGCGGCTGCGGCCGTCCACCGCACCGCCGCGCCGATTGGTGGCAGCCGCGAGCCGCCGCAGCCGTTGTTTTCGAATCCGGTGCCCGCATCGCGTTCCGCGGCCATCAACCGGACACCGGACCGTCAGCCGTCAATCTTTTTCCGCCCATTCGTCTGCACAAAAAAATAAAATACGACGGGTCACAACAATGTCTGCAGACTGCAGCCAGCAGGGCCGGACTAGTGGCAGATCCGGGGCTAAATTGTTTTTTTGTGGGGGGGGGCAAAGTACAAAAAATACAAAATTGTAATATTAAAAAATTGGCTAAACACAGTGTAAAACAAAGTGAAACTACGGCGATTGGGGAGGAAAAAAATGCCCCCTTTGCTCCTCCCTGGATCCGCTACTGGGCCGGACCAAACTCCTGCTATAGAACGGTCACATCTCTTTACACGATTTCGAATATTTTCGTCGTGTAAAAGCCAAAAGGTTTTTTTTCACATACATTGTCAGTCATGGTAAAAATAAAATAAAATATTATGATTATTTGTTTTCAAATTGTATAAAAATGAAAACAAATTAGTTAAAATAGTTTTAATATTATGTTTAATGATAAAGCATAATTACAAACAATTTAGGATAGTTTATTACAATATTTCCTCTTGATATCAAGAACCAACGTGTGATAAAAATTGAATGATGGTTGCTTGATTTAATTGATTATTATATTTATTGATAATTATTATCTATCATTGTGATGTGTAAAATAGTTTTATAAATAAAATTACTCGTCAACGTCACAAAGTCATTTTGTGCAGAATCGTGTGAATAAAAATGTAAACTCTGAATCGTGTGAGCAAAAATGTAAACGAAGCACCGAGGCGGAGGGACAGCTGATACTATTCGAATACGGCGCGAACCAAAATTCACTGGAACTTACCTAGGTGTAGTATAATGGGTATAGGTAATTATTTGAGATTTTTTCATTCCATCACGTTTGGGCATTGATATAAAATAAGTACCTATATACCTAATATGTATAGTGTATACACCTTTAGTATGCGAAAGTGCTAACTAAGTTATAGTTTATAATCACTTAAAGCGTATAAGCCATATGGTATGGTATACGATATAATATACTTTACAATACTTTTATTTTTTAATGATATAAAATAAATAAAAAAATATTAGTCCTATGTCTGTACTATTTCTATAAACAATTATTATTTGATTGTAGTTTACGATATTCGACTCAAATTCAATCGATACTCAATAATTGTGCTTGCAGACTGCAGTTGATATATGAATGATTTTTCAATAAATAGTTCCCAAACGTATTTATTTTTTTGTGCTCAAACGTGTCGCGTTTTTTGATAAAATGCCTAAACGTGTAATGGATATAACCTATGTCCTAAATCATAATCAGATAGAGGTAAGTGGTTTCCGGACAAAAGTGGTTTAAAAAGGTCATAAAACATATAGATAATTTATTTCCCAGTGAACGAGTGAACTTTTTTTGCCAACCACAACAACCATAGCTGGCAATAATAATGTACAGTAACTATTCACAACATTTATATTTGTGTCATAATGGGTTTTGATTTCAGAAATGTGTATAGTAATATTTCAAATTTCAATATTACATTAATATTATGTTTTGCATTATATAACTCAATTATAACTAAAATAGGTAAGTTATAACAGTAAAACCTTGATTTGATATTTTAGAGTGGTTACCGAAATTGAAACTAAAGCTTAAACTTATTATTTCGGCGAACTGAAACCCATGAAATCCAGCTCTGCAGGGTCTCAGACCTCAGTCCCCTCGTCAAATCAAAACGTTTGAAGCAGTGACGGCGGTGAGGCACAACATGGTGGTTTTTATTTGATTATACACCTGGTTATAATTACTCTGCATTTGACGTGTCACGTGTGTAATAATAATAATAATATGCTCGCACATGTTTAATATATATTATGTAGGTATATATATAATACCTAATAATAATTATTATTTATTGTGGTTCACACAATATTGTAACGGGTTTATGAGTCAAACTGAAAACAATATTCGTCGTCTGCTGCAGAAGACTGCAGTGCAATGAGGACGATAGTTAAACCGTAGGATAGCAGAAATATAATAATATTATATCGACGTAATGGTTTATCCGTGCCCTCACTCGAAATAAAAAATAGTCGACACACGGTACCTATATATAATATTCATAATAATAATAATAATAATAATAAGCGCACGCGAGAATAACGAATATTAACACGCGCGGTGGCGATATTGTGTACGCGTGTCGTGATTAAAATACAAGATAGGAAGGTAGTACCTACCGCGCGAAAAAATCGTTTTTTTGTCGTTAAAAATATCGGAAAACTTTTCCAACTTTGGCGCAATGTAACACTACCTATACGGGTTGCAAGTTGTTGTATAGTTATGCGATAAAGTAATTTTGTACCTATTAATTATGTACCTACAACCTATCGCAACCACGGTATACACGTATATACCGTGATGGGTGGCGTACAACTATACACGAGTTACACTGTTCTCGTCGTTACGTATAATACTGCAGAACGGTGTGCAGTACAATATTATAACAATACTATTTTAATCGTTCGAACTGGCATACAGGATTATGTAACAGATCGAACTGACTTTTGGAATAACTCTTGTTCTAATCAATATTTAACATTTTTTTATATATATAATTTATAGTTACTCGCGTTGAACATAATATATTATACAAAAAAATTATTTTAATTTTGAACACTGAAAATAAAAAATTTAAAAAATTTAAATTTTTTTGGATATATTTAAAATAGTCAATTTTTGAATCTGATTATAAGAACAATTTTGATACTAAAAACATTTATCTAAGTCAAGTGGGTAGTTTATTTTTTAGAATTTTTCAAAATATCAATATTTTTTTGATTAAACGAATTCGGAACGTAATAACTTTTTTCAAAATATTTTTTTTGGGAATTTGCTGACATGAGTGTATTTCTTAAACTATTTACTAATCATATAATTTTAACAATTTTTTCCATACTTTTAAGTAGCATCATTTTTTTTTCGTCAAGTCTTTCTTTTACACCTTGTATACGAGTGTATAGGGGTGAGAAATAGGGGTTGGTTGGATGTATAATATAATATAATAATGTTTTTCCACAATCACTGGCAATCTCCGTGGCAAATTCCTCGATAGTAGTTCACTGGTAAACAAACTCGAAGTGGATAACTACTCGACGAGAATATTGAAGATGCGCGAGATTAACGTCAATATACAATACAAGACGTAAACCACGTATATACATAAATGAATGGCTTCCACTAAATTGATATTGATTTTTGCGAAATCGAGTTATCGAATTGTTTGTTCAAACCATTGCTCTTAAAGTCGGTGCAAAGTTTGTAGTACAGTTACGTGTATTACAGGCGGCAATAGACGTGAGTATAATATATTTTATAACGAGTTTTGGGGTAACCGCTTCGGAGTGCGGTCGCAAAACGACCGCTGTAATATCGCACCGTGAAGGTCGGTGCGATATTATAATATTATCATTTTATAAATAATTGATATCATGCAACAGTATAACATTATTACAACGTTAAAAATCAAAGGAAGACCCGTCGAATCGCTTTGTAGTTTATTTTGATGAAACGGCGGCAAGTGCTACGTGTGAAGTCCGATCGGCCGTTTGCCCATTTAATAATATTTTACCAACGCCATATAGGAGAAGTGTCTACGATAACCTACCCTCAACTGTGTATTGGGTGTCTCAAAAGTCATAATAACTATATGTAACTCAGCCAGTCGTATAAATTTCCAAATAGGCTTACATTCAAATCTTTAATAAATAACAAGCAGATTAAAACAGCAGATAGTTTGACGATTTCAATGCTAACGTGAGATACTGAGATATAATAATGTTATTATAATATTATTATACGTAAATGTTGGACCGAAGTGGCGCAGTGGTCACGCAGTTGATTACGGCTAACACAGTCATCGGTTTGATTCATAGCAAGTGCAAAAACAAATTGTGTGGTTCTACGCGATCACCAATTTCTTTTTTGGTGTCGTCCGATTGCGTCATCTAATTTCCAACTGGGCCCACTCCAATGGGAATGAAGACCGCACATGTCTCCTCTTGGAGAAGGGTGGTATTATGCATATAGTGATATATACATGGATAAATAGATCACGTCATGATCTCCCTACTACCATCTTGTGAAAAGCATTGACAAAGACCTCGAGGTCGTTTCAATGAACAAATACAGTAAATAATATACATATGTATGTCAATGATAGATACCATTATGGTACTACGCTTAGGTACCTATGTATTTAGTTTTATAGATTTGATTATGAAACGCAGTAACAAATTCTGCATAGTAGATGATACCAGTGTCGTAATTTCAGGGGTGGTCACGTCTTATTTTAAAAACAGCCAAATCATTTGTAAAAAAATAACACTAATTTTTTTCAATTTTGAGGATACATAATATTGCCTAGATACAAGAAAATAATTGTCAAGATAGTAATTAGTATTTATTATAGCTTTTAGTTCAAAATTACTTTTTATAGTAATTTAATTTGTTCGACTCCTCTAGAAACAGGAACGATGCCACTGATGAGGTACTTATATAGCCGGAATAGGCACCAAAATTATTTGGCTCTTCCACGTCTCTTTTGCTATAAAAATGAGGCTACTTTTACCTCAAAATATAAAGGTATGTAAAATGGGAATGGTACTGATATAAAAATATAAGCAGAAGTTATATAATTTTATTAAATTATCAGTCATATATGCTGGTCAAAACTTTTGCTCCCTCTTAATAAAAACTGAAATTACAATTAATACAAGAACACAGTATATATTGGGCATATAATAAAGACAAATTAATAGTCTAACAAATTAGTTGACTAACAATCATTTAAATATCAAAATGGTATTAAAAGAGTTAGGTACATTCAATTAATTGAATTTGTATTATATTTTATAATGATTTTATTTAGTTTTGATAAGTTTAAGACAATAATTGTATGTTTTTAGAGCTGAAGTAATAGACAATTTAATTTACTTTTTTAGAAATGATATAGATTCTTAC